TTGTATTTATTTATTTATTGACTATGAAAAAACATTCGATTCAGAAGAATAAAATACTACCTGGCAGGACCTTTTAAAAGGTGCCTCCCATGTCCATGCAAAAATCATTCCTTGGAATGTAATAGATTCTCTGGAAAATGACAGAAATAACCCAGTTCAATGACCTTCTGAAAATAAACTTCAGGTGAGGTATAAAACATGGAAATGTAAGCTCACCAGAAGTATTCATCACTGTGATGGAGGAGATCCAGTACAAGAGTCCAGGTCCAAGTTTCCCTAAGGAAGGTGGGTCCTCAGATAAAGATGGCACTGTATTAATTACATCAACTATCAAGACAGTGAAAGTCTCCAAGAAGAAATCTGAAATCACTCAAAAGAGTTTGGCCAGACCACCTACAGAAAAGACCAAATGGATAAAGACTGCCCATTGCCTTGACTTCAACATGCATCTACTAAATGGGCACTCTATAGAGCTTGTCCAATAGTATATATAATTAGGAAAGAAAGTACAGATGGCTAATGAACTGTGCCCAGAGTTGAAAAGAACAGAATAGGCTGGATTGCTTTCAAGGAGACTGCACACTTTTACTGACCCCAAGCTTCCCATAACAGCAAGGGCCCGTTTTCAATACAAACATTTAATCAGTGTGTCTGTACAGTGTAATGAGATTTGTGCTGAAGGAAAAAAAATATTAATACTGTATATTGGGTTTTAGACAAATCTACCAGGAAAATTTTTTTCCTAATTTTACATTAATCTAATATCCAAGTAATTTCTGGCAGAGAAAGACAAAGAAACAGACAGAGAGACAGAGAAAGAGAAAGACAGAGACAGAGAGAGAGAGATACACATTGGCCCACTTCCCCACTGCCTTCTGACAAGACTCTTACCCAAGATGACTTGAGGCAACATTTATAGCAATCTTGAACAAGAAAAAGATCATATGTAAAAATAGTTTTGTGTTAGCATTCCAAAACAGATGAATAATAAAATTACTATTCAGTTCCTTAGTCGATCACTCCTAGAGTAAACAAATAGACCTCCTCCCTTCAGTGCTTCCATTTCCTTTTTTCTCACTCTTTTTAACTTCAACTTTATCATCCAATTGAAAGTGCTCTCTCCAAAGTTACCAAGTACCTCTTAATGGCCAAATCTCAGGGCCTTTTCTCAATTCTCATCCTTCTTGACCTCTCTGTAGCCTCTGACACTGTCCATCAACCTGTTCTTGACACTCTCTTCCCTACAGGTTTTTCTGACACTGCTCTCTCCTGGTTCTTCTTCTACCTGTCTGACCATTCTTCAGTCTCCTTTCCAGGATCTTCATCCAGGTCATGCCTCTAACTATGGCTGTCCCCCAAGGCTCTGGTTTTGGGCCCTCTTCATTGCTCAGTGATATCATCAGCTCCCAGGAATTCAATTATACTGTCTCTTTGTCTCTCTCTCCACATAAAAACATGTACATTTATATAAATATATATATATATATATATTTTATATTTCATACACACACACATGATTCTTAGATCTATTTATTCATCCCTACCCTCTCCTGACTTCTATCCTCCCATCTTCTGAGATATTGAATAGATAACATAAATTCTACATGTCCAAATCTTTCCCCTAAAATTCTCCCCTCTTCCTAACTTCCCTATTACCTCCATTCTCCCAGTCACCCAGATTCACAACTGAGGTGCCCTCCCCAATTCTTCACTCTCTTCCACCTCCCATAACCAATCTGTTGCCAAGTACTATTCATTCTAACTTTGCAACATCTCTCTTATGTACGTCCCCTTCTCTCCTCTGACAATACCACAAACCTGGTAGCAATTTTATCACTTCAAGCTATACTATTTTCAATAGTCTGTTGATTAGTCTCTCTGACCCAAATCTCTCCCCACTCCAATCCATTCTCCATCCATTCAGCTATCAAAGAGATCTTCCTAAACTCCAGTGGTTCCTTATTACCTTAAGTATCAAATATAAAATTTTCTGTTTGGTTTTTAAAGGCCTTCATGATTTGGCTCCCTGTTACCTTTCCAGTCTTCTTACACTTTATTCCCCACCAGCCCCACCACCCACCCACACACACACACACACACTCTGGGCATTTTCAATGACCCATCCCTGAAACTCAATCCCTTCTCCTCTCTACCTCCTATCTTCCCTGGCTTCTTCCAGTCTCAGCTGAAATCCCACCTTCTGCAAGAAGCTTTTTTCAATCCTGCTTAACGCTAGTGTTCACCCTCTGTCGATTATCTCCAACTTATCTTTAATATAACTTATTTGTACATAGCTGTTTTCAGGTTAGACTGTGAGCTCCTTGACAGCAGAAACTGTTTTTCCCTTTTTTTGTTTCCCCAGTGCTTAGCACAGTGCCTGGCAAATAATAAGTGATTATATTAAATGCTTGTTTACTAGATGTAATCTTTTCTGAAAGGAGAAACATGAGTCAAAGCATCAGTCCTTGGATGGACAAAGAGTATACTGCCCTTAGATGGGTCAAACATTTCTGGTGGATGGGAAGGCAATGATCTAACAAGAGATATTCTGTATTCAATCATTTGACTACCACACTAAGAAAGCAGAGAAGTTTGGAAAGGGTTTAGACTAGAGAAATTTTATTTCTCAATATTTCTAGAGAATCCTAAAAAGCATTTAATTATGCTTCCAAACTTGGAATACCACTGCATCCCAAGAACTATAGATAAGCATTACACAGAGAGCAATGAAAAAGCCTATGATAGGCATGAATGAGCAGGTTGTAATGTATAACCAAGGAAGAACTCTGAAGAAGAATAGGAGTAAAGGATATCATCAAAGAATTGTATTACAGAAAGAAAAGATGGCCTGGTCATGTCTCAAGAACAAATGATCCACTAGTACTCTTATAATGTCACGGAAAGGCCTATAGCATGTTTGACAGTCCCCCTGCAGTGAACTTTTAAGACAACATGGATGAGAGTCACAGAGGATGAATGAGCATGGAATTGATTTTGAGCTAAATCATTAAAGGGAACTTCTGAATCAATATCATAGATTCATTTGACTATGATGTCTAATGATTTTGGTTGTTTTGTACATCAAAATCAGTTATATTTGATAGCCATAAAAATATGAAGAGTGATGTCATCACTAATTATTGTTCTACTAATGCTTTATTACTGTGTAAGGAAAAAACAATGTTGCTTTACTTGTCATATATTAGAAGAAAAAATTTAATTTTGACATCCATGTTAAACTGCTTTTCCTGGATCATTTCATTTAATCCTTTTAAAATGGCATAGATTGTGTGTCAATATCAAAAACACAAACAACTCAGAATACAGTATAAATAAGAAAAAATAGTGACATTAATCAAGTGATGAATAGGATAATAACTTTATTCTCCCTTCTTCACTCTCATCTTTCTTGTCATCAAATATAAGTCCAGTCTTGACAGATGAAATCATTGAAATCATTATGATTTTTAAAAGAAAACATGATGCACATGTTATCTGACTTTTTTAAATGTATTTAGCAATTACAGTGATTTTTTCCCTTCTAAAAAAAAATACTATTTGTTATATAAAATGGCCCTCTAGGAGAATGGGATAAGAAACAAAAGATATCAATAAAAACTTATATTAAAAAAAGATGAAAGCATGAGCCTTGGCCTTGTCAAATCTTATAAAAACTACACCAAAGGGAATGTGTTATTTGCTGAAATTTTCCAGGATTTTGCAACAGAACATAAGTGTTTTGGGTTTCAAAAGTTCTTGAAGACCATTTTCTCCTGATAATGTACTAGTGCAAATCCACCCACTATATACTGAAGAACAGCAAGCTAATCCTCAGAGCCATTACTTCTACCTAGGGTGTGAGGGGGTGCAGAAAAGTAACACTTGAACAAATTCCCTCTTTCAGCCCCTGAAACACATTAAGGACATTTCATTTTTTCCCCTAGAAACCACAGCCTAGAAAATTAACAATCTTATGTCACATACAGACTTTTCAGTCAAAAAGCAAGGTAATGAGTTATTTTTGGCTGAACTTGGGGGAAGGGAACTAGGATAAGAACAATCAACTGTCTTAAAAATGCAAAAGCAACAGAGTTGTACACAAGTACAAAGAACGTGTCATTGTACATCAAACATTCATGAGCAGCATTCTCTGGAATGCAAATTTACAATTCTTGTTTTCCATCCTCCACATCACTGCTATATAAATATCCTAAAGGTCAGGTCTGGCCATGTCACTCTTCTAATCAAGAAGCTTTAGTGAATCCCCACTACCTTTAGGATAAAATACAAACTCCTCTGTTTGCCATTTAAAGATATTTACAATCTCGCTCTGGCCTATTTTTCCAAGCTAATAACATCATTCCCTTTTATTCATTCTACATTCTAGCAAAACAGGCCTAGACTCCATTTCTTGCCTCTGTGCCTTTACACATGCTATCCTCCATACCTGAAATGCTCTCTTTCCTCTGCCTCTCAGAACCTGCTAGCTCCTTTAGTTCATTTCTCCCAGGTTGCAATCTGGACTCCAACATGCTTCCAAGCAAGGTACCTTCCTTTGCACCACTCCCTCTTTTTCAGCTTCCTTTTGTGTACTGTCTTTACTCATTAGGATGTGGTTGTTTTGTTTTGGTTTTTTTTTTTTAAGTCTATTCCTAAAGGAAAGGGACTGTCTTTTCTTTTTGCTTGTATCTCTATTCTCAGTGCTTAGCACACTGGCTGACACACTGACTGACTCCTTTCGGTGTCACTTTCTTCAAGAAGCATTTCCCTTATCCTCCTCCCTCATTTTACATTTATCCTATATTTACATATCTGTACATATACTGAATACCCCTAGTAGAAAGCCCTTCTTAGAGATGAGACTGTTTCATTTTTTGAGACAGTGTTTGTATCTCCACTGCCCAGAATATACAGTAGGTGTATAATAAATTGTACTGATTGACTTGGATCTATGTCTGTTAACCACCAGAGCATTTATTATTAAAGGAAAAGAGAGATACCTTCTGTCCACAGAGAATTTTTCAACTAAAGAACTCCAAGTGGTTGTGTAACAGCATCCTCACCCTGAGGATGGGGAAACTGAAACAGAAAGGAGAATAAATCAGCAAGAAACAGCAGCAGAATGGGTAATCCTTTACTTCCCTGGGCCTCAGCTACCTCATTTGCAAAGTGATCATGACCAAGAGAGTTCTTAACCTTTTTTGTCCTGGACCCCCTTTGGCATAGCACTCTGGTGAACCCTATAGACCCCTTATCAGAATAAGGCTTTATCGTCTGCTTTCATAATTGCAGGAAATGCTAAATTTCAGTTAGAAGTTAGTGAAACCAAAGGTGTGTCTGTCATTTGTCCCCCATTCAAGTTCACGGACACCCTGAAATTTATTCCTGGACCTCTTGAGGGGTCGTGAACCCCAAGTTTTAGAATCCCTGAAGTCTCTTCCAGCTCTAAATCCTATGAACCTCCAACCCTCATTGCTCTTCCTACCACCCCTATCGCCCATTATCCCACAGGAGGGAGGGAATTAAGCATTAGTTTGAGCCCATCTAGAAGTCTCTGGGTCCCAAAGGTGAACACTGGCTCCCTGGCAGACTACCAACCAGCCCAGTGCCTCAGTTTACCGCCCCTTCCTCAAGAGGAAGGAGTTCGTGATTTATGACATTCCTCCTCAGGGGCTCCCCCATCCCTGCCCCCTGGTGGAAGGGGGTGCCCCAGGGCACCGGTGGAGCAGCGGCCGTTAGTCGAAGTTTGGGATCCCTCCCCCCGGGGAGGCCGGGCCCGGCAGGCCTCGCTGGGGGCGACGTGAGTCTGCGGGGCTGACGAGTGACGTCTGCGGGGCCGGCGAGGCCCAGATAACGGGCCGGGACCGGGAGCACGGACGAGGCATGCGGCGGTGCCGGGGGCGTCGGAGGAGTGAGGGGAAGGCGCCCGAGGAGTCTTGCCTGCCCAACCCCGGCCCAGAGGCGCCAGCGCCGCCCGTCATTTGCTCACCTGAAGGCAACAGGTCCGACCAGGCTGGAGCCCGGTTCCCAATCCTGCGGCCCCCGGCTCCTGAGGCCAAAAGTCGTCGCAGCCGCCACCGACTATTTACCTCGGGGAGACGCGCGGCCCCGCGCAACCGAACCTGATACCTGGGCCCGCCCCCGCCGGCTCCGCCTCCAAGCCGGAGAGAAGGAAGGGAGGGAGTGGTAGTGGGTGGGGGGGGGAAGTGGCATGAGAACCAATAGTGACCCGAACGGTTCCAGCGCGCGCCAGGATTGGTCCTCCTCGTGACAGCCTCTCCACCAATGGCTGCCGGTCCAGCTCGGTTCTCAGGGACTTTCCGCTCCGTCAAGCTCGGTCGAGCCAAAGTGGGGGTGGGGGAGGGCTAAGAGAGGAAGACGCAAGAGAGGGCGGGGACGGGAAGAGTGACGTGAGCGCTCTCTGGTTGGCTGTCTGGCAGCAGGCCTCGAGCCATCATTGGCTATGAGATGGGAGGAGGTGGAGCACTACCGGTCCCAGTCGTCTCTGGGCCTCAGCTGTCAAAACGCCTTACTGAACTGGGTAGGGCAGGGTCCATGGTCTTTGCGTGGTAAGATTTGGGAAAGAGGCCAGAGCTCACGCCCGGGCTTGAGCTGGGAGTCAGGACTCCTGAAATGCAGCTTTAGCCTGGAGTCCCGAAATAACGCTATGCCCTTAGCCCTGGACCATCGAGTTTCCCAGTCCCTCTCAGCCCTGTGCCTCAGTTTCCCCTTCTGAATGGGGCTGAAGGGAAGTTTGGCTGCTATCCCAGAAGCCACCCACTAGTCATTGCGGGGTGCCAAATTTAGGTTATAGAGGAGGAGAAGGTATTGCCACACATTTAATTCATCCTTCCTGGCCAACAGCCAGGGCTTATGGTTTAGTTAAGGATCTTTCAATTAGAAGAGAGGTTTTTAATTCCCAAGTGAGCTCAAAAATATTTAAGGAAGTGATTTTTTAACTTAGTAGTGAAGGTTCTCAGTACACTAGATTCTTGTTAATTAATTCTTTCTCTGACAAATTAAGTACCAATTATGAAAGAGGATGAATAATACTCAAAGGAGGGAGGTGGAAGGGGAAGGGTCTTAATCATGACATAAATTCTCCCTGTGGAAAATGACTTGTTCCTAAGGGTCTGTGGGATTCTTCCTAAGAGGTAACAGCACAAAGGCGTGTGGAGGTGCCAATAACTAATTACTTGTAGAATGACTATCATTCACTATGGTCCTCCCCAGGAACTCATCCAGGTACAAAAGTGATGCCATTGTGGTACCCGTACTGGAAGCTTTTCTAATTTCATATTATCTGCTGGCACTTGTGCCTCCTTGGCATAGACTTTAAGAACCTGGTATCACAGACTTTCAGGATTCTTTAGGGACCAATACAAGACCCATCTTCAAACAGCCTTCCCTGATTATTCCAATTCCCAAAGTGCTATCCCCTCTCTGGTATACTTCTGTAATTGTTTTATTGATATCATTTCCCAAACAAGATCAGCCCCTCCCACAGCAGAAGGCTGTGTCTCCTGCTTATTTGTTCTTTTCACAACACCTAGCGCAGGTCTAGGTAGATGATAGATGGTCTAGCCACGATACCTTCTGCTTTCATGAAATGTGCTCCACATCTACTCATTTTAGTGATATGACTATTCAGCTTCCCATTACTATACCGGGAAGCTCAAGAATATTTAGCTTTTCCATCTGATCCCAGCAAAGAATGAATAACAGAAAACTGTGGGCAATTGTCTAAGAGGAAATTGTTAAATGTATGATTACAAATGTATGATTACAAATTTCTTGTCTATTCTCAGCTCCCTAAAGTGTATAAGATCCCTGTTTGTTTGTTTTTTTCCCTGTGGAGAACCTATTAAATTAGGGAGGCTGGTACCTATTATAAAGCTACTGAGAATCTTCATTTTCATTCAGAAAAGGCAAGAGAGGGTTTTTTCCAGAATGAGAAGCCGTGTCATTTTCATTTAACATTTGACAGCCAGGGTTTTGTGAATGAGAAAAAGTCTCATGTGGGCTCTTGTTTCCCAATACCTTTTCTATAAGAATTTTATAAGTATTATTAGAAACTGTCTGGACTGTGTAAACCTCTCCTCATTTCCCACTGGCTGCACTCATTTTGCATTTCTTTGACTTTCCTACCATACCCCTGCTAAACTTATTGGGAAATTTCAACATCTTTCCAGATACAAATCAGCCTTGGCACCCATATTTCATCACTACCCCCTGCCCCTCTGTTGGAGGGGAGACAGGAGAGAAATATCCCAACATCTTATTTCCTAACCATCTGTATACATGTTGAACTTCTTTGGCTTCTCTGACTGCACTAATTTTGGATTTGACTTCTCCACCATGCCCATGCAAGATACCTTAACCCCTATTCAGCGTTGTCTTCCCCTATTAGATCATAAGCTCCTTGAGGGAAAGAACTCTCTTTTTCCTATTTGCATGCCCAGCACTTTAGCATACTGCCAAGCATATGATAGGTTCTTAATACTTACTGACTGATTGATTATGCTGTCCAAATTCCCACTCACCCTTAGAAACCCCCCTCCGTCCCCACTCTGCCCTTTTTTTGGAGGGCTTTAAAAGCAGTAACCACAGAGAAATTAATCTGTCCAATCTTGTACATAGGCCTTAAGATGCTTTTGGGAATCCCTGCTAGGCTTTGAAACTTGTTTTTCAGCTATGACTTCCTGGTGCTGAATAATTTCAAATCAAGCTACTTTGGAATATTACTCTCATCTATGAGGAATTAATGATTGCTGTGAAAAGTTCCCCACCCCCAAATCAGCTAATATCAGTTTATAATCCAATGTGGATTCTTCTCCAAAGAGACCAAGGCCACAGAACAAAAGCAAAAGCTTTGTCATTAAAAGATTACAAAACAGGGTGGAGTCAAGATGGCAGAGTTAAAGGAAGTATTTTTGCTAGTTCCCCCAGCACACCTCCTCCACAACAATCTAGAGGAGGACTAAACTGAATTCCAATCCAGAAGGCCATTTAAAAAATCCCAGTGAGTCATTTTCCCAGCCCAGGGCTGCTTAGGGAGACAGAGAGATGTGCAAACACTGAGGCCAGAGCTGGCCATGAGTGTGTGCTGGCCTAGAGAAGTTTATCAATTAAACAGAGTAGGGATACAGTATACAAAAGCAAATGAGCACAGTAATCTAGTATTTGACAAACCCAACTGTGCAGAAATTGTGGCAAGAACTCATTATTCAACAAAAACTACTAGAAAAACTGGAAAGTAATCTGGCAAAAACTAGGCATAGACCAATCTCTCTTACCATATCAAGATAAACTGAAAATGGTTACATAATTTAGACATAAAGAGTGACATGATAAGCAAATTAGTGGATCATGGAATAAATTACTGTCAAATCATGGATAGGGTGAAGCTTTGGTCATGTTGATGACTAAGCAAGAGAAAGAAGTGGCAAAATAGATCACTTTGAATATTTTTTTCCATAAACCCAATCCAACTAAAATTAGAAGCAGGAAAATAAGGGAGGAAGGGCAGAATCTTTGCAGCAAGTTTCTCTGATGAAGGTTTATTTCTAAGATGTAGAGAGTCAAATTAACAAGATGATAGTCATTCCCACAAGTGGTCAAAGGATGATATGAATAGTTTTCAGAGGAAGAAATCCAAGCTATCAATAGCCATATGAAAAGATGATCTAAACCACTAATGGAGAAGTGCAAATTTAAACTTAGAGGTACCTCCTCATGCCCATCAGATCAGCTAACATAACAAAAATAGAAAAAGACATGCTTGAGGGAATATGGGAAAACAGGTACATTAATGCACTGTAGGAAGAACTGGAAACTAGTCCAACAATTCTGGAAAGCAATTTGAGATTATGTCCAAAAAGCTATTAAACTGTGGGTGTCCTTTGACCCTACATTACCACTACTAGGACTCTACCCCCAAAGAGAACAAAGAAATAAGAAAAAGATCCATATGTACAAAAATATTTATAGCAGCTCTTTTTGTGGTGGCAAACAATTGGAAACTGAAGGAATCACCATCAATTGAGGAATGCCTAAACAAGTTATGGTATATGAATGCAATGGAATATTATTTGTGTGTGAAAAAGAGGGGTGGTGTAGGAGATGGTTTCAAAAAACTGGGAAGACTTCTAAGAACTGATGCAAAGTGAAGTAAGCAGAACCAGGAGAACAATTTATACAGTAACAGCAATATTGTAAAGATAATCAATTGTGAAAGACATAATAACTGCCTAGCACAATGACCCACCATTCCAAAGGGTTCATGATAAAACATGCTATCCATCTCCAGATAGAATTACTGGACTCAGAGTGCAGATTGAAGCGAATTTTCTTCTCTTTTTCTTTTTTCTTTTTTTTGGACATAGCTAACAAGGAAATTTACTTTGCATGATAATACATATTTATAATGGGTTTTGTTTTTCTTGCCTTCTCATTAGGTAGGGATGGGAAAGGGGAGGGAAAAAATTCAGAACTGAAAATTGAATTAAAAAAAAGATTATAAAACATCTCTCTTGCTCCTCATTGCCATTCTCCAAAATAAACACCTCTCTCAGAATCCAGGAGAAACAGATCTCTTCAGTCCCTACAGATGCTTTCTAGTCCTTGAGACACCTTCCTTAGGCAAAGGCAACAAAGTCCAAAGTATTTCATTATAGCTAGTGACAAAGGACCCTAGGTTCACTCAATGTTGAAAGTAATTATTTCTGTGAGGACAGCAACAAGACGTTACTTCAACTAAGTGCCTACAGAAGAGAAAGAGACTAAAACCTGCCACATTTTGTTTGTGTCAAAAGTGTCGTCAGCCACTTCTCTTCAATTCAATGAGTTGCAGAGGCTTTAATTTGCCTACAATTTTACTTTCAGCCCATGTTCAGCAAAGTTCTCCTCACATGGCTCATTGGGAATTTGTGCTGCATTTGATTTTTCTTAGCTGAAAGATAAGTGTGTTTTGCTTGCCAGGCTATTTCTAAGCATTCTTTCTTAAGTAAAAATTGTCTGTTTTTTTAAAACCTATTTTTACAATGAGGAATATTTATTTTTCAATATGAAACAAGTTTCACATGTATTTAGAAAGTCTAATGACAAAGGAGGCTTTAGTGACAAAATACTTTAATATTATGTATACTTATAGCTTAATTTTTACATAAAAGTACAAAGTCACATTTTCTATAAAAATACAAACTTTAAGAAAATACAAAGTGCTTTATAAATATTAACAACCCATCCTCCCCCACAATCATTGCTCTCTCTGGGCTTTGTATTTCCAGAAAGACAAAGAGTTATGGCAGTATTTTTTTTTTAATGGTCAGGGACTTACTTTGCACCTGATAGATCACAAGCTCCTTGAGCAGGGCTGATTCATTTTTGTCTTTGAATCAATCCCCAATGACTAGAATAGTGCCTGCAACACAGCAGATGCTAAATAATTTGTTTATTGGTTGATCTGTAAACCCTCCATACAGTCAGCCTGGCATAGTGAATAGAGTACTGGGTTTAAAGTCAGGAAGTCCTAGGTTCAGATCCCACCCCTAACATTTCCTAGCTCTGTGAATCAGAATAAGTCATTTTACCACTTTGTGTCTTGGGCAGTTTCCCAGGACTAAGGCACAGACTGTGTTGATAGATAGAGTTCTCACACCAGGAACTCCCCATGCTGAAAGAAATCACAGATCCTTCCAGGAAGTTTTTCATATGCAACTTAACAAACATAAATATTCCAATACTAGCAAGCCCAGATCAGAGAAACAACTGTCAGAGGTCTGCTTCAGAGTTCATACCCAAAAAATATCTCAGCAGAGTTCATTTCACATACAAAAATCCAAAGGCATCAAATTAGAAAACCATCTGACATCTCTCAAAATTCAGTCCTTAAATGACTTTAAAATGCTGTAATGTGATGAGTCTTGGTTTCCAAAGACTCCACCTATTTATGGACATTTTATATGATTTAAAAGAAATTTTGACATGTAGTTAGGTTCACATAGTTTTGTCCCTAATATCTGAACTTGTAGCCAATTTATTACAGGATGACCCCCAAATTCCTAGTTTTCTTGCAGTTTTAGAACCAAATAGGGGAATAAGCATTCACTATCAAGCTGCCTTTCACAATAGTATTGTAAATACCAAAAGGAGAAGATCTTAGCCCTGACCTAGTGGAGACAAATATGTGTGTGTGTGTGTGTGTGTGTGTGTGTGTGTGTATATACACATATGTATATGTATATATATATATATATATACATATATGTATACATATATATAATTAAGGAACTGAGAGAAGAAATATCCTGACCCATTCAACACATTAAGAAGCACCAAAACAGGGTAGTATGTAGAATGTAAGCTCCTTGAGTGCAAGACCTAACTCATGTTTTTATTTCTATGTTCAGCACCTAGGACAGTACTCGGTACACAGTGTATATTTAACATATGCTTGTTGGTTAATTGGTTGATTGCTAGACTGGAAGGTCAAACAGATGCAGTATCAGGGCTAGAATTCATGACAGGAGTATGGATTCAGGGCAGTGATCTAGGATGGCACCTGAGGCCCAGGAGAAAGAGCTACCAGGGTAGCAATTCATTCTTCCTGAACTTTTCCTTCCTTCAGGTTCATCACTATCCCCCAATCCTCCCTTTTAACCATAAACAGGCAGTATTCTGTACAGTAGCTGACACTTGATTAAAGCTAACAGAACTGAGTCCTCTCTGCCTCAGACGGGTGAAGCATAAGACCATATTTTATCCACCCAAGAGATGCCAACCAACCTCCAGAGGGATTCAGTACATTATGTCATTCAGATTTCAGTTTACAGTCTCTGTGTTCCAGGGATGGAATCTGGGGGTGGTTTGATGGAAATAGACTTTAGAGAGAGATCCTCAAGTGTCAAATACTGCTCCAATCTGAAAGTGTTAAAGTGTCTAACTCAATATCCAGGAGCTAACAGGAACAGGGAAGAACAAAGTTCAATCTGAATGTGATGATTCTACATCAAACCAAATTTTCTGGTATACAAGGTCTAAACTCAAAACTTCCCAAACAAATTGGCTCTCGGTGATCAAAGCAAAAGTCTGGCGTCCATGAGGCTGAGCTGCTCGATTTCCTCTGGAGTGAAAGTGTTCCCTCTGAGCCTAAAACCATGAAAGGATAAAGGAAGTTTCAGTTCAAAGAAAAAAACTACTGCAATGTTTTATAATCCACATTATTACTTTCAGAAAATTTCAGTTTAATTACATCCTCAGATACCTTGTGTGATCCTGGAAAAATGGCTTAACTTCTCTAAGCCTTAATTTCTTTCTCTGTGAAATGGGATAATAATATCACCTATTTCAGAGTTGTTATGAGGATCAAATGAGCTTCCTGTAATCTACTTTTAAAAACCTAAAAGCACCAAGTAAATGTGAGTTATTTATTAGTAAAGGACATTAGAAGTAATCTAGTCGTGCAAATTTATAGAAACTAGAGCTGGAAGGGCCCTTTGAGATCCTCTAAGCCAACTCCCTTAGTTTTTAGAGATGAGTAAAACAAGGCCCACAAAGGTGTGGCTTAATCAAGGTCACCCAAATAATAACGCAAAAGAGTAATCCAGGCCTTCTGACACCAAATACAGAGCTCTTTCCACTAGATGGGTTTCAATTCTCTTATCTCCAGTATGAGAGCAGAAACAGAATCTGTAGCATCTTCTATGGAGCAATGGTTCTGAAAAGATTCATGTGATCCTTCACTACTCCTTTTCTCCTAACTCACACCCACTTCCCTTCTCTGTGGTACTTAATCAGACATAGGAGATCTGGGGAAAAGGCAGTGAGTATATGGGCCAACGAACTGACAGGAAATAAATCAAGAAATTAAAACCACCCCATTCTGACTTGATAACCATCTGAGAATAGAGCTGCTTGATCTTTGTTGACATACCCTGGGTAATAATTCATCTGATTTATTCAGCACTAAGTAAGCCTTTTTTTTTTTTTAAGTGAAGTACTGAGACCAGCTCTAGTCTTTCTAAGTGAGATACAGGAGGGGAAAAAGAGAGAGACAGAGATTCAGAGAGAGAGAGAGAAGGTCCAGAGAATAATATTAAAAATAATTAAAGTCATAGAAAATAGATCCCAAAAGAAATATTGTAACTAAGAGCTTATAATTGGATTGAAGGAAACATTTCACTTGTTAATATGAATGAGTCACCTACTGAAAGGTAGCTAGATAGTGCAATGGATAGAGCGCTGGGCCTGGAGTCAGGAAGACTCATCTTCCTGAGTTCCAATCTGGCCTCAGACACTTACTAGCTATGTGACCCTGAGTATCATTTAACCTTGTTTGCTTCAGTTCCTCATCTATAAAATGAGCTGGAAAGGAAGTAGCAAAACACTTCAGTATATTTGCCAAGAAAATCCCAAATGAGGTCACGAAGAGTTGGACATATCTAAAAAAACAACTGAACAAAAATCTACTGAAAATATTAGTAAGAGCACAGTTTTGGCAAATGTGCCTCTGATATTAAGACTCAATGCTGGTTTTATAATGGTAAAACATTTTAATATGACTTGACAAAACTTCAGTACTACAGAGTCATAGAATCATATAGCTGGAAGGAACTTCAGAGATCATATATCCCAAATCTGATCTAGTATACAAATGTGGCACCTCTCTCCGACATCCATAAGAATATCTGACAACCACATATCCCCAAAATTGTGACAATTGTGTCTGACAAAAAAAAGTAGAAACACTTTTAACAAAGCTTTACAAAAGGCATATCCTTCTTTAGACCATGCATCATGATTTTTTTGTTTTGAAAATATGGTCAGATTTGTTATATATCACAGGTGAAATCATATCCTTTGAAATATAGCTGCATATGGTAATATACTTTGGCCATTAAACAAATTAAATCTAGGTTGTCTCCCTGAAGGAAGGAGCTGTGATTTCTCATTTCTTTTATGTAGACCTGTCTGATATACCTCAAGTCCCTAGCATAGAGCTAGGCTAGTAGAAAGCCCTCTCAAATACTGGTTGGTAGTACTGATTGAAAAATTGAGGAATCAGGGCTGCTCAAAACAGAGAAAGACTTCCCAGAAGAGGGACAACTTACCAAACTGATTTGATAGAAGTATTACTTTGCAGAACCTGAAGGAGGGCAGAAACACCTTGTTGGGTAATGCTGTTGTTGGAAAGCCTGAGAACAAAGATGGGAATGATATTAATAACTTGTGAGATAGTGCTAGAAATATTATTATTTCCCCATTTTACAAAAAAAGAAAGTTGATACCCAGAAAGTTATGTGACTTGTCCATAGCTATACATCTAGTCAGTTTCAGGGGAGCCAAGGTACAAACCCAGGTCTCTGATTCCAAGTCTGCTGCTCTTGCCACTGAACTACAATCTGAAGTTCTGGGAAAAGACCTTCCTTTTAATCATTTCTATTATTAGGAGGTACGGGAATAGGGACCAGCTATATGAATGGGAAAAATAGAGAGTAACTTTGCATGGGGTATCCCAAAGCCTGTCCATTCCAAATCATCACCCCTACCAGCCTAAATGTCCCAGCCTTTAGTCACTAAGGAGGTTAAGGAATGAGTTCTAATTGTGCTAACAACTCCCACTTTATATAGATAGTACTTTGCTTTCCTTACAACAATCCAATGGGACAAGTAGCACAAGAATTATTTTCATTTCATAGAGGAGGAAACTGCAACTCCGAGAGATCAAATAGTCTGGCACATGCTAAGTGCTTAAATGCTTGTTGTGGACTGACTTGTAGATTAAGTGACTGAGGCTGGATGGTTTTTCTGGAATGTCTCAAAGGCTTGTTTTCCTGAAGTGATCCTACCCACACTCTCTCCTTACCCTTTAAGAATCAATCAATCAACAAGCATTTATTAAGTCTTACCGATGCTGTGCTAAATGCTGGAGATACAAAAACAAGTTAATTGGATGCTATCTCTACTCTTGATCTTTAGTAGCACATGACAGCTAGGCCTAGATAAAGACAACTATTCTTTCAATTAAGACAAACGACTACTTCTGTCTTCTTGGCAAACTTTTGTACAGTAAGAGCCCAACTACAGTGACATGCCAGTACAAGGCTAGCTAGCATCTAGGTATAGGCCAAATAATGTTGGGCTTATATTATATCTGAGTTTCTATGAAATAGAGTTGTTATGTTTGGAGGAGCAGGTTTTGAGCTGTGGCATATCTAAATCTGTGCAATAATGGGCCACATTATTAACCCCACTTCTCCTCAGCCCAAATTTGTAAAATTAGCATTGAGACCTAACTTCACTGGCACTTTTGCCAAAGTCTGATTTTTGCCAATGTCTCTCACTGGAGTAACAAGTGGAAATGTTTCCCTCAAACAACTGGCATCTTCACAACCCCCCAAAAGCAACCCAAACAAGCAGTGCTAAAGTGGATGCTTGTCTGTCAGGAAGCAGATGGTTTTCAACAGAGGCAGCTGTCTGCTTGTCACTAAAAACAAGCATTTTCCTAGGCACATATTTGCCCGGGGCAGATGCAACTTTGCTCCAGCACCAGGCAGCATGTGATGCATCTCCAAGCTATTTCAAAATGAGGCCTTTTGGCTCAGGACATGGTTTGGAACACTGTATCCCTACGATTGCCAAATGCAAACACAGCTCAATCCCTTAATTGCCACCTGCTTGATGGTTTATTTTGCATTTTAGCCCCATTTGCTCTTCCTGTAGATCTAGTGACAGCTAGGTGGTGCAGTAGACAGAGGGCTGGCGCGCCAGGCCTGGAGTCTGGAAGACCAGAGTACGAATCCGGCCTCAGATACTTCCTAACTGTGTGACCCTAGACCAGTCACTTAAACTCGGTTTGTCTCAGTTTCTTCAACTGAAAAACGGAAATCATAATAGCATCTCCTTCATAGGGTTGTTGTAAGGATCAAATGAGACCATATTTGTAAAGGCACTTAGTACACTGCCTGGCACACAGTAGACACTTAATAAATGCTTGTTTCCTTCCCCTTCCCTTTCCCTTCCTCTGCACTTGGAGTCAGGAAGACCTGAGTTCAAATTGTGCCTCACATACTCCAGTTGTGTAATACTGGAGAAGTCACTTAACCTCTCTCAGTGTCGTTTCCTTCTCTGTAAAATGAAGATAATAATAGTGCCTGCTTCACAGTGTTGTTGTGAAGATCAAATGAAATAATATGCCTTGCAAACCTTAAAGAAATATATAGATATTAGCTAGTATTAACAATTATTTGGGTAGAAGAAATCATTCCCCTACCCTGCATCCCCCCTCACACTAAAAACAGCTCCAGAGCGAGATAACTTTAGGTCCCAAACATTCTTCCTGTGAAACTGTTGTTTTCATCACAAAAGTTCCTATTGATCAAATTCCTATCCTTTGTTCATGAGGTTTTACTTTTTAATAATGATGATGATAATAACAGCTAATATTTAAGTAGCACTTTAAAGGCTCAAAGCAATTTGCAAATGTATTACCTCATTTGATCCTCACAGCAAAGCTATGAAGCAGGTGCTATTACCATGTCCATTTCACAGTTGAAGAAACTGAAATGGAAAGAGACTAAGCAATTTGCCTGGGGTCACACAGCTAGTATCTTTCCAAAGGAAGATTCAAACTCAGGCCTTCTGAACTCCAAATTCAGCACCTATCCACTATTCCATCTGGACAAAATGGACAGCGTGAAGCCCACAGAGCAAAGTGCCCTGCCAAGCCAAATGTGACCCTGAGTCGCAGAACCATTAAATGTTAAGCCTTAGCGATCATTTAGCCTACTCCCATTCCCATTTTACAGATTAGGAATATCAGCGCCAGAGAACAGAAGTTTGCCCAAGGACCCACAACTAGTCAGTGACAGAGCCAGACAAAAAGCCCGGTCTTGCATTATTTTATCCCATGCTGCTTCCCCTCTGAGACAGAAGGATTTGTACTGCATCAGAATCCATTCTTCCCCTAGATAGGATTGGGACTTCGATTAGCCTTGTGATGATACAGCACATGTGACATTATGATTTAGGACCATGATCCCCTGCCCCCTTTATAGGCAGTTAGTTCCCAGAGACATTGTCATATTATTTTCACAACAGTCCACAGGTTCCTTACTTAAGGACTTTCAAACTTGAATTTTTCTTAAGTCCATGCACCAGAGTACACATGTCTTCATCTTGAAGATGGTTCTCTTCAAGGCTAGCAAGAATAAAAATAATAGCTGATTATGCCATCATTACTATAAGTAAGCTCTGCTTTAAGAATAAACTCATATACTTTTCCAATCTTACAAAAGAAGTAAATCTCTGAGTAGTTGTTCTCATTACATGATATTGACACAATTCCTTTGTACTCACAAAGAATTGGGCTGGGGGTTCCTCTAAGTACCAAGCCCACCTAATGCACTTTAAATGGAATTTGATTTGCATGCACATTTTTTTAGGACTAAATCTCTTCCTTAGAGTGAAGTGCCCCTATGGTTCTATTTTCAAGTAGGTGATCTAGATGATTTATAATCTACAAAACTCAGACAGAAATTATTTGCTTTGCCAATGAAGTCATGTCATATGGTTTCTTTGATGATCTCAAGTAGGATCTCAGTGCCTGCTTCCACCCTTGAAAACTGAAGCTTAGAAATTCATCTTTAATCTAAATATTAAGTCTGCAACTATATTTTTTTAGTCCTATAATTCACTGACCACTTCAAAAGAAGAAGGTGTATTTAAGTAGAAGGGATAATAATAATCAATTCTGGATAGAAGAATTTTTTTAAAAAGAGGAAAAAAAAGAAGGGTTTCAATGAGAAAATAATGATATCTAACATTTACATAGTGCTTTAAGATTTGCAAAATACTTTATAAATATTATCTCATTTTATCTTCAAAACAACCCCAGGAGGTAGGTGCTATTATTATCATCATTTTATAGATGAGGAAACTGAGGCAGTAGGTCAAATGACTAGCTCAAGTCAAGTGACACAGCTAGCAAGTGCCTGTGACTGGATCTGAATCCAGGTCTTTCTTACCCCAAGTCCAGCCTCCAAGTTTATCCACTGTATTACCTAACTGCCTTCAGTAAACAAAGAAGAAATAAAGAGTCAGAAGAGATAATAGACTTATGGCAAGAGGAAAGAGAGTAGGATAATGAGACCTAAAGAAAAAAGGGGGAAAGAAGTCCCCCTGAACATTTGGAGCTAATTATTTGGGGTTCTTCTCAAAGAGGAAAGAAGTGGACCCTTTTGAGGATCAAAGGATCAGAGAGGCAGAGTTACAGCAGGGCTCTGAGGAAGCAGCTCCTTAAGATCCATAGCTATGATCAGGTGAAAGATCATCCAGTAAAAGTCAGGGAAAGAAGAGAGGAGGGAGTGGTGCCTGGTGACATCCTGTTGAAGGCAGCTATTTTTCAACCTGATAATACAATAAAGGGGTCTAATGACTTTTCAGGACATGTGGCAAGGAAGCTATGAAGTTGTGTCAGAACTGATGACTACCACCCATTTCTAGTGATACATACAGGCACAGATGATATTGCCATGTCTGTCTATCCCTAGAACTTAGTACAGTTTGTGGTCCATAGTAAGTGCTTCATAATGCTTGTTAATTGTCTATTAGAAAAAAACTAGAATGTATTCCTAAGAATTATGAAGTTTTGGGCAAGAAACTAAACTAAATCATTTGAGTATGGGCCATATTTTCATCACCTCAGTGGCACAAAGGTAAGGGCTTTAGAAGAGAAAGGCCTATTTGAGAAGCAAATAACTGGATAAGATCATGCCTAAGAACAAGATTTTCATTCTAAACTAGGGTTTAAAATATCGGAATTATGGGTTCTACATCCAGGATGGAGTGTACATAATAAAGGTAAGTAATGTATCTGACTGGAGCATTCCAAGTCTAATCTCAAGAAGTGAAAATGAAGAAGAGAAAAAAAAATGCATCAGAAAGCTAGGTGTCATTGAGAGTACCACAAAGCAGATGAAAGAAAAATGGTAAAGATGCCCAGAAATGCACAGTAGGCAAAATCCAAGGAAAGAACTAGCAGTAAAATTCATGACCTCAGATGTCTGTAACATAATATATAACATATGGTTAGATGTTAGGTGAACAGGAGATGCCAAATTTGCCCCAAAGTTATCATTAGCATGTGGTGGGACAGAACCCATGACTAGAAAATGGCTCTGGAAAGGCATACGTTATTCAGAATTAACAAGATAAGCACAAGGAGATCAAGGACAGAAAAACCCTACATATAGCAAAATATTCACAGCAGCATTTTTTGTACCGTGCAAAGCACTAGAAAACAATGTAGATACCCACCAACTGGGGAATGGCTAAACAAATAGTGGTACTGCAATAGAATATTACTGAGGTACAAAAATGACAAATATAATGAATTTTGAGAAGCACAGGAAGCCATACAGATGCAGAGGTAAGTATGTAGCATCAAGAAAACAACACGTTTAATAAGTACAATAACAGAAAGGACAAACAAAAGCCAAGCTGAATAGTGTGCGACTATAATGACTAAGTTTGACCTTTGGGATGAGAAGATGTAGTTCCCTCCCTTCTTAGCTGGTGGAGTGGGGAGGGGAGAGGTAGGATGATTGTATGAAATATTGCATATATTATCAGATAGGTTGATGTGTTTGTTGGTTTTACTGGGATGCTCCTCACTCTCTCCCTTACAAAGGATGGTTTGTTGGGTGTGGAAGAGGGGAGAAATATTTGGAAATGAAGGTGATGTAAAAAAAAAAAAGACATCAATAAAAATAAGAAAAAAATAAGCAAGATAAGTAGGGGAGAGAGAACAAGTAGCATTAAAGAATGATGATGATGATGATGACGATGATGATGGAGAGTAGGAAAATAGCTAACACATTAATTAGTGCTTTAAAGTTTGCAAAATACGTTATCTTATTTGATCATAACAACTCCGTAAAGTAGGTACTATAATTATTCCCATTTTACAGGGAGGAAAACAGATTCAGAGAAATTAAGTCTTCTATCTGGGGTCATATTGATAGTGTCTGAGGCAGGGATCAAACTCAGATTGTCCTGACTCCAAACCCAAAACTATATTCCCTACATAACACTGCTTCTCTAGACCATATGGTTCTCATTGTATAGCTCTCCTAATTTGCACAATCAAAAGGCCATCTACACTTTTTATCTTTCATATGGACTTGTGAGTAGCCTCATAATTTGGCTCCCTACTCCTCCAATCAATCCTCTGAGATGCTGCTAAAGTGATATATCCTAACTGAATCTCTCCCCCACCTAAGAACCTTTAGTGGATCTGGGATGAAATATAGATTCCGCTGTCAGGCATTTAAAGTCCTTCACAATCTGACCTTCCAAATCAGCCACCATTTCATTATGCATGCACTAATGTCTAGTTATATAATGTATGTATACATACATTATGGTATGGTATAGTTCTCCAAACATCACACTTCATCTTCTGCTTCTGTGCTTTTGCTCAGACTGTCCCTCATATTTGGAACCCTCTCCCTCCCCACCACTGCCTCTTGAAATCTCTAGCTCCCTCAAAGACTCAGTTCAAAGGCTGCCTACTTACTACAAGAAGGCTTTCTCAATTCCCCCAGTTTTTAGTGCTCTCCCTCCCTCTAGAGTACTTTATAGTCACTTTGTATATATTTTGTACTTATTTATCTGCATGGTAGTAGAATGTAAGCTGCTCTAACTGGAACCATTCTGTTTTAGTCTTTGTACCTAACAGAGTACCTAAGTCTAACACAGAGTGCCTAACAGAGGATAGATGTATAGTAAATGCTTCCTGAATTTAATTGACTATAAATGAATATGCAAAAATCCAGGGCCTAGAATTTATGGGTAAAGATCAATATGAAGCAGAAACAAAAGCAATATTATAACTAGAACAGCAGGGAATGACTAAACAACTTGTAATACATGAATTGAGTGGAATATTATTGTACCATAAAAAGTAATGTATATGGAAAATAGAGACTCATGGAAAGACTTACCTGAATCGATGAAAAGTGAAAAATGCAGGAACATGAAAATGATATTAGATAGTGTCTTCAGTGGTATAAATGGAAACAACCACAACAGCAACATCAAAAAATTGAATTCTGCATAATTATCATGATCAAGTTTGGCCCCAAAGAAGAAAGAAGAAAATGCATCTCCCTCTCATCCTTACAGAGGTAGGGGACTATAGGTATAGAACATTGCATATACTGCCAAACTTAATTAATGTGTTAATTTTACCAAACTTTCTTTCTCTTTTAAAAAACTCTTTGTTACAAGTGATGGTTCATTGGCTAGGGGAGGGAGAGAGATCTCTTTGTAAATGAAGATAATGTAAAAACAAAAGATCTCAATAAAAACTGAAAAAAAATATTTAAGGAAATATGCTACAGACCGCCTAGAAAGAAACAGGAAATAAATTAGATGTTCAGGAAACAGATCACAAGCCAGGCATTTAGGCATGTTTTAATAGTGATTGGGGACTTCAAATTATCCAGACATTTGTTAGAGTGTTCTCTCTGCCAATATCAAAGCTGCTAATAATTTGATATCTGTTATGATAATTTTACCATTCAAAAGGTAAAACAAAATGAGTAAGAGAAACTTGAATTCTGGATCTGATTCTAATCAATAAACAGGAACCAGCTGCTGAGGGGATGTTTAATTTAAGATTGATCTAGAAGTCCTGTGAGGTTTCTCCCAACTTTGAGATTCTGTGACCCTATGATTCAGGGATTATATGAAGATTATTCATGGCTCACTTTCCACTCTGGGTCAGCTTCCCTCTTACTACAAGGCTCTGTAAGGTCTTCTTAAGCCTGGTTTACAGTCAATCAATCAACAAGCATTTATTAACCACCAAGTATGTGACAGGCATTGGGACAGATGCTGGGTATATAAAATAAAAAATGAAACTGCCCTGCCCTCAGGGAGCTCATATTCTCTCAGGAAGAATATGTGAGGATATATATATACACAAAATATGAATGAGGTGTTTTGGGAGGAAATAGCAGCTATGGCATAAGGAGAAATAAAACACAAAATCTTCAACCCAACCCAGATCAGAGTAAGAGCCTTCTGCAATGTATTCAATAGCACTCAAAATACCCAGGATCATAAACTCATTGTAACATTCATTCACAATATAACAATGTAACAAGAAAGAAAAAACTACTGCCTAAGCATCAATGATGTAGTCAGGGGTAGATGATAGTTCAAATTCCTATTATTTTTAACCTATGTCCTTAACCTTGCTTGGACTGTTGACCTGGAATATTAGGAAAATGGATCAAATCATGGATGGGCATACATATGTTTTCTAAATCACCAGGGACCTGCTCTGAAAATGATAAGAAAAATAACTCCTATTTATATTGCGTGTCACAGCTCAGAAAGCAAGTTGTTTATAAAAGGAGCTCCCAGAGACAGAGGCTAAGTGCCTAGGTCAAGTTCAAGGTCATACAACCCATCAGTCATAGACTCGGAACATGAGCCCAGTTCTCCTGACTCCTAGTCAAGTGTGCTTTACAATACACCACAGTACCCCTCCTGTATCAAAGCAAAAACCTATTCAAAGGATGGGGATGCTATCAAAGCTCTGGAGAGCCATAAAGAACAACAGAGACAAAACCACCCTCAGCTTCCCAATCCCAGCTCCCCTGAAATCAGCAATAACACAGCAGAAAGACAAAAAGATAGAATTTATGCAGACATCAGTAAGACTCATCTTATTGGGCTACAATTCTGGGGATTTACAGAGTTCTTTACGATCAGTGATAACTCATTCAAAGTTGTCACCAAATCTTGATGGAGAAATCCAAGAAAAAGTCACAGTGACTTGTCAACAAAAGGAGACAGAGAGTTTTATGGACCTGGGGATGGAGTCTGGCCAGGTGTGCGCCCTCAGAGCCATTCCAGCACTCAGGGACCTTGCCTAAGGTCAAGACAAGATTCCAGGCCCATACCATGCCACTATGACCTTGGTCAAGGTATGGGAACAGTGCCAACTGTCAGCTGTGCCACCCACTACCTAGTTATGGGTCAAAGAACCACAGTGGACAGAGGAGGGGACCAACGGTAGGTCAGGGTAAGGCATGGTCACAGACCTTAGTGTACTGGGCAAGAAGCAAACTGAGAAACAAGTAGGAGCTGTGGGGCTTGGAGCCCCAAGAACAGAGTGAGACCTCAGTTCTAGTTATTAGTCCACTCTGAAGCATACAAAGAAATAACCAGGGAAGGAATTCAGATCAAAAGGAAGCCCACAGTTCTATTACTCTGAACTAACAGCTTTCCAACTAGCTGAAAGTTGCCGAGTGTAGCAGAAATCTACTGTTGCTAAGATGCAAACCCAAGTCAAGAACTGAAGAGCTCAGACCAGAGGAGCAGTGGTCAGCCTTTGCCCTGGGTCAGTCTACTTTGAAAGCACTGAAAGCTTTCAGGTCCCTTGGCCTGAACTGTCCCTGAGATCTGAGAATAACACAACACTGATATCCCAAGAAAGCAGCAAGTGGACTATCCCAGACCTTTCCTCCATAAATGCTTAGTTCTGGTCCTAATACAAAGTCTAAAATCAGAAAGTAAACTGGAGGAATGAGCTAACAAGAAAAAAAAAAGGTCTCACCATTAAAAGCTATTATGGTAACAGGGACACTCAAAATATAGATACAGAAGATAATGACCCCAAAACATCTATTAGCAAAACATCAAAGAAAAACACAGCTTGGACACAAATTCAAGTAGAATTTCCGGAAGAGATAAAGCAAGAGCTTATTTTATTTTAAAGAATTAAAGATTTTTTTTTAATAAATGAAATGAGAGAGCTAAATGAAAAAAATGAGAGTCTTGGAAGAAAGAATTGGAAAAGTAATTAATAGCCAGATTATACAATTGATACAAAATTTTGCTCAAACAATAAATTCCTTGAAAATTAGAATGGACCAAATAGAAGTCAATAATTCCATGAGACAACAATAAGTATCAAAACAAAGTCAAAAGGCTGAAAAAATAGAAAAATATGTAAGTTGCTGTTTGTATGATATAATTATACCTAGATTTTTTTTAAAAAGTAGATTCTGCCTGCAATCGATCCCATAGGGTTAACAAGCAATATTAGAAGTAAATAAAAGTAAAAAAGAAAGAATTATAGTTGCAATGAAGTAAAATGAGCATATCAAAGACAGAGAAGTCTATAGGTGGGGCAATTCCTCTTCTAACCAGCTGGCTCAGTAAAAATGGCCACCCTGGACCTGAGGCAGACTTTTTCTGGCAAATGAGTGTTTTCTCAGATATCTGTAACATCTCATGTTCTCTTTAAATCTTTCCTTCTGGAGCTCCAGGATCAAATGGCTTCACAATAGGACTGTAACATTCTAAAATTACCCCTAAGTTAGGAAAGGATCATCTACTCTTCACCCAAATAACTGCTCCCTTCCATTAGTGCAGCCAATCAGAAGCTGAGTATCACATAAAATGCCCTGGCCCTGAGCACTTTTCTGCCCCATGTGGCTAGGGAGTCCCTCCCTTGGCATAAGGATACAGTAAACATTTAATACTTACCAGAGTTCCTCCAGGGACACATTCTTCTCTAGCATTAGAGCTAATGCCTGGGCACCCAGACTGCCAATGTTGTTCCCCACCAGGCTGCAGAGAGCACAGGAGCAAGAGGGCAACAGTCACTGGATATCCACCCTAATACAACTTCTCTGCTGCCCCCTTTCCTCTGTCCTTAAATTCTCCCGCCTCAACTTCTTCTCCACCACGACAAAAATTCCAGTATTACCTGAGCCACTTCAAGCTGCGGTGGTCGTGCAAGGCAGATGCAAGTGCCTGGGCTCCTTCATCTCCCACTGCATTGCCCCAGAGACTGAAATGAAAAACACCAACAAAAACCAGCATAATAACTCCACCTCATGATTCTGGATGAAGGGAAAAGTACCATCTCAAATATTCACAAGGCTCCATTTGGCTTTCATCCCCTCCAGGGACTAGAATATATAATGTAATAATGTTATGTTTAAATGAAAAAATTAAGAGGGGATTTTCTTTCCAACCCAACATAGGTTGAGGACTCATAAGGAGGTAAAGAGGCAGGGCCTGAGAACATCTTGTTACATTTAACATTAAGTGAATGACATGGGAATTTCATGCTGAATGTGAATATTTAATGACATTATTTTCTCCTAGTTTCCCTTCCACCTCTCTAACCATTCTTTCTTGGTCTTTCACTGACTCTTCTTCCTCCTCTCACTCCCTAAGTATCCCAGAAAGCTCCCACTTTATCCCTCCTGTTCATTCTCTCCTTAAGTGATTTCATCTCTTCTCAGATCACCTCTATGCAGAATACTCCCAAATCTATGATTCTAGCCCCAAATTCTACCCTAAACTCAAGTCCCACACTTCCATCTGCTAGCTGGGCAATTCCATCTGGATGTTTCCTGCCATTATCTCAAACTCAATATGTCCAAAATAGAACTCCTTTCCCCAGAATCTGCTCTTCATCCTAATTTTTCAATTTCTATTTTTGTATTAATGTCTTCCTGGTCATCCTCTCTCAAAATCTTGACATCATCCTTAATTCTTTCCTCTCCTTCACATCACATATCCAAATCAGTTGCCAAGTCTTGTTGATTCTATTTTCATCATACCTCTTCCTTCATTCCTTCAATCTCATCTCTCTTAATTATTACTTGTGTGACTTGAATAAGTTACCTAAACTCCCTGAGCCTCAGTCTGTTGTTTGCCGGTAAAATAAAGACATTAGACTATATGGCCTCTGAGGTCCCTTCCACGTCCTTAATCTAGGAGCCTACCACGTTTAACCATCTTAGCCACCCAACTCTTGTTATACACCAGTTTACTGAAGTCCTTTTTAAAACATGTTAGCCAAAACCGGACACAGTACTACAGATGTGATCTGACCAACACAGAACAAAATAAAATGTCACCTCCTTTGTTCAGAACACGAGTCTACTTTTAATGTCCCTTAAGTTAGCATTAACATTTTGTTTTGGGTTTTTTGGGTAACTCCTACAGAGCTAGCAGTCAGCTGACCCACCCTGGGGCCTTTTTCACATTGACTGCTGCTAAATCAAGACTCCCACTCATATATATAATATGTGTGTGTACGTGTGTGTGTGTGTGTATGTATGTGTATATATGTGTATATATGTATGTATATATACATATATGTATGTACAGGCTGATAATAATGGTAAGCAATTAGGTCTTGAGGCAGGTAAGGATGGGCCTCATGATAGGGCTCCTATACTAAGAGAGAAAGTAGCCACAAGGACTGTCCCCACTCCCAGCCTCCCATTTTCTCCCTTCAATCCTTATCTCCTCTGGGTATGCCATGCATGAGAGGGAATCCTTTCAATCTCACAGCCAAACATACTGACTGAAACTTCCTGGTATCCTTAGGTCCTAACTCTTGCCTAGGAGCCAGCATCTATAACTCAACTTCCCTTTTTTCATTATCTGCCTCCTTTTCTATCTGCTGAAATTTAACAAAACGGACTAAGGTTTCAGTTTTCTCACTTATAAAACGAGGATAATAATTTCATTACCTATCTCAAGGGTTATCATGAAGAAAGCTTGACATAATTGTGAGTTATACTAGTAATTATACTACTTAAAAGGATTACAGAGAGGTAGGATGGCATAGAGAAGAGAGAGCTGGCTTCAGAGTCAGAAAGACCTGTGTTCAAATCCTGCATTTAACAAATCCTGTCCTAAACAAGTCACTTAACCTCTTGGTCCTCCAGGCAATTTTCTGTGACTATAAGATGAGCTCCCTTCCCCCACTGGTAGAGGGAATTTCCTCTACATAAATGAAATCATGGGTGTAGTCTCATCCTAATAAAAGGGTTAGTCTAGAAGACTTCCAAGGACACTTCCAGTTCTAAATAGATGCTTCCATGACAGCCTTCACCAAGTATTTGAATGCCCCTGGAGTGAAGGAAGGATCAGACTTGTTCTATTTGGGCCAAAAGGCAAAACTCAGAAGTTGCAAAGAGGTAAATTGAGGCTTTTGATGTTAGGAGGGAAAAGCTTCCTAACAATGCAAGATGTTCAAAATGAGCTGCCAAGGACCAGAATGAAGGGGTGAATTACAGTCACAAGATAGTTCTTTCTCTTACCCTCTAAGGAACATCCAGCAATTATTTCTCTGGTTCTGAAATGGACTTCTAATGTGCACACATACACAAGTGCGTGCACACACACACATATACACACATACACACACACACACACACACATGCATACACATGCACATGCACATATGCATGCATACATTCACATATGTGCATGCACACTTGTGTGCATGAAACTTAAAACAACTGAAGATTGACGTGTGGAGGCTCTGAATGGTCTCCTCTTCTCTTTCCTGGTACCATAACCTACCCCAAAAACTGAAGAGAATTGTTGTCTTTCAGGCCTTCTGCCAACACCTTGGCTCCTACTGCAGTAATGTGATTGTTCCCCAACCTGGAATTTAAAAAAGTGATCTCAATCCACACACTTTGAAAGGCAGGCAGGAATAATTATAATCATCTTAATTTCAAACATTTCTATATTGCTTTAAGATTTACAAAACACAGGGGCAGCTAGGTGGCGCAGTGCATAGAGCACCAGCCCTGAAGTCAGGAGGACCAGATTTCAAATCTGGCCTCAGACCAAACACTTACTAGCTGTGTGACCCTGGGCAAGTCACTTAACCCCAAATGCCTAAAAATTTAAAAAAAAAAAAGATTTACGAAACACAGAAAACCTGGATATGGCTCCTGGTTGCTCCTCCAAGCCAAGGAAGTCAACAAGCCCATTTTATGGAGGCCAGATTAGCCAGAAGAGGACAGAGATAACAAGTTCCTGCATTGACTTTGGATTTAGTCACTGTTCTTTTGCAAGAGAAACTAGTCTTTTCTTAACTTGACCATTCTGGCCTGTTTGAAAGTCTGATATAATTTCATTTTTTACCAACAAGAAGAAAAACAAAAACATCAAGCAAAGTACAATGGGTATAAAGATGCAGGGAGGGAAAGAGGGTCAAAATAGGCAGTGGTTTCTTCCCAACTGTAAGGGAGTGGCCAGACTAGAGAAGATGAATCATGTTCCTCTTTGCTTTAGTCATTGACTTGGTGCCTGTACAAAGACAAGCCTTAATCCCTTAGAATTCATTTTCCTCTTCTGGAATCTGACTGCAGGTAACATTTACCTACCACAAAATGCTCTGGGGAGGGATATGAGATGGGAGGGGAGGAAGATGTGAATATCTACATAGAGACCTGGTAGAATGAAGGTATGTTTCTTATAAACTCCCTGAGCCTGCTACCCCTGTGACCCAGAAACTAACACTGTGAATTTAGCAGAGACCCAGCCAAAGTAGAGGAGAAGGACTCAACCAAGAAAGCAGCAAAGAGTCAGAAGACAGAAGCCACATCCAGAAACCCTAGGTCCTCTTCAGAAAAGTCTTGATCCATCCGATAACCACAGAGCACATGCTCTGAGTTGCATTTCACTTAACAGGGATGGGCCTAGGACCATAGGATAGGATGGGTATAGTTAGAAGGGAATTCAGAGATCATCTAATGGTCCAACACTTATTTTATAGATGGGAAAACCAAGAACCAGAGAGGCATAATGATTTGCTTCAGTTACAAAGCTGAAATTTGAACTTAGGTTCTCTTGTTCCAAACCCAATGCTCTTTCCAGGTTCTCTTTTATTTCAAATTATCCAAAGGTGCTTAGGAGTTCAACCTATGTCCATTGTTTCCTTTGCTGTTAATTTCAGTGACAACGAAAAGAAGAAATGAGAGTAGGTGAACGAGTGAATAAGATTGAGCCCAACAAACAACAAAGGAGGGAGATGATCACACCAACTTTTAATGCTTCTCCAAACTTTAAAAACAAGAGTAGTGCAGAAGAAAGAGGGCTGGATTTGGAGTCAGGGGGCCTGGATTCACATTTTGACACTGCGGCTTACTACCTCTGTGATCTTGGGCTAGCCACTTAATTGCTCTGGGCCTCAGTTTCCCCTACATAAGCAACCTCAGTTTTCTATCACTGTAAAATGACAAGGTTGGACCAGATGATCTCTAAGACCCCTACCAGCTCTAAACCTATGCTCCCACATAATCAGAAAAGCAAGCCAACTGAAAACAATGAACAAATTCTTGGGAAACAAAGGACACAAATGGGATCAAGTGAGTTTCATGCTGGGAGGATAGAGAGGAGAGATGCACAGATCATCTAATGTTTATGCTGCCTAAGCTACTACTAACCAGAGTTGCTATTTCTGTACCAAACAAAAAGATAAAAAGCCTGATCAGGTAAGTACTTTCAATTTAGTGCTGTGGGATGGACCTTGCATCACAATTTACAGTAAAATCTCAAAACAAACCTGTAATTATCACTAATTTAGCACAGTGCCCACGCAGCACCCAGATTGCATGAGACACAGAACGGGAGAAATGACCCAGGGATTGTTTGCCCTGGGTGGAGCAAAGAAGAGGTAGCCCAAAGAATCACAAGGATGACAAGTCCTACGGGATGTCACACTGTCCCAGGATTTGCCTGGTATACCCTATGATCAGGCATTCCATGAATCCTGGAATCTCAGATCATTATATGGTAGTACAAGTTCTGGAGCAGTCCCAAATTGATTAGATCAGGGCATTCCTACCCCTTACTTCTTACTTAGCTCAAATTTGAAATCATTATCAGGGAGTTGGTGTAAGGAGCTGGGGATCTCTCATGGAAATGAATCCCCTCTCCTCACCTCAATGCCAAAAAGTTCTGCTTGTACTTGAGAAGACTGGCCAAAGAGTGAGCACAGTTGTCCGTCAGCTTGTTATTGAACAACCTGAAAGATTTCACAAGAGATACACAGCGTGAAAGGAAGTCCGGCACAAACAGGAACCTCAGGAACAAATCTACATTCACCTCTTAATTTGTACCCACCCCATTCCCAAAGACAGAAACCCATACTCCAGGGAGCTGAGATCAAACTCAACAATGGAAGCCCTACTTACGCAAGCTTCTGAAATTGGTCACACTGCAGAGCTTGGTCAACCAGCCTGCAGATCCCCTGGTCAGAAATGTTGTTATCTCTCAAGCTAAAAAAGAAAATAAATTTTTTGAAAAAAGATTTATAAAAGAAAAAGGAAAAAATTAAAATGAGGCAAAGGGTCTTCATAGGATGCCTGATAGGGAAAGAATTATCCACTCCATTAAAGACTGATTCCTCAGATGCCCCCACCCAATCCTTTGGATAGTATTAGTAATGGACCTAAACACATCTTAATCAATTAATAAACATTTATTAAGCACCTACTCTGTGTCAGGCACTGTGTGCTGGAAATACAAAAAAAGGCAGAAGATAGCCCTTGCCCTCAAGGAGCTTACACTCTAATGGAAGAGTCAATATGCAAACAAATATAGAAAAAGCAAGCTATATACAGGATAAATAGGAAATAATTAACAGAAGGAAAGCACCAGAATGAAGGGGTTAAGGAAGGCTTCCTGTAAAAGGTGGGATTTTAGTTGGAATTTAAAGGAAGCCAGGGAGGTCAGTAATCAGAGGACAGGAGGGAGAGCATTGCAGGCATTGGGGGCACACAGAAACAATGCCTGAAGCAGAGAGATGGAGCATCTCATTTGTGGAATAGCCAGAAAGCCAGTGTCACTGGATCAAAGAGGACATGTCAGTGAGTAAAGTATAAGAAGACTGGAAAGGTAGGAGAGGGCTAGGTTTTGAAAGGCTTTGAATGCCAAACAGAATATTTTGTATTTGCTCCTGGAAGCATAGGAAGCCACTGGAGTTTACTGGGGGAATAGGATGGTGGTGACATGATTGGACCTGCTTTTTAGGAAAATCACTTGAGAGGCTAAATGAAGGGTATGGGGCATCAGAATGGGGAGACTTGAGGCAGACAGACCCCCACAAGGAGGCTACTGCAATAGTCTAGCCATGAGTAGATAAAAGCTTGTACTGGAGTGGTGGTAGTGTCAGAGGAAAGAAGGGGATTTGTTTGAACAAATATTGCAAAAGTGAAATCAACAGGCCTTGGGACTTAGTTTTCATTTGTCCCAATAGTGCAAATGCCTGTGCTTCATGGATGGGAGCTGAGCAAACAATAATCTCCAATATTCTTTCAAGAGCTAACATCTTGGGAATCTCTCAATCTGTAAGTCAGTATTTGGTACAACTGACTCCCTTTGGCATATGTTTAAGTAAATGACAGTCAGCCAGAGCCAATTTATAGAAGGCTGTTCTGTGTGTAAAAAATCTTTTGAGATTTCTTTAGGTCACCCTCACTCTAGACATCAAAATTGCCTTTTGCTGCCTGGGGATCCATCAATGTAACTACTTCCAAAAGCAGGAGGAGGGCAATTGAACCTGAATGGTGTTAAAATGATCAGTCCTTGGACTGAGGACCTAAGAAAGCTAACAGAAGGACAAGGATTAGCAGCTGTTTCACTCTTTTTCCTTCCCATTTAATTAAAGATTACTCTCTAGACTATTAAGTCAAAACAACAACAAATTCACAACAAAACAAAACAAAAAAAAGGATAAAAATAATTTCCATAGATTTTTTAAACTTGATTAAAAAAATAAAACAACTATGGGGCCATCAATAGATACATTCTCTGTTATCAATTTTCTGATCAAGATAAGAAAGTAAATAAGACATTGAGCCACCATAACATCGTAAAGTAACTAATCTGAATATGCTCCCTGGGATTTTACTTATAGGACAACTCCAGGGGTTCTGAAGAATTTCAGAAAGGTATTTAAATTAAATGAATATTTATTAAGCCCAGAATATGTACAAGGTACTATATCAGGTATTAAAGCTACAAAGTTTAAAAAAAATAGCCCCTGCCCTCATAGAGACTGCTTTTTACAGACTGCTTCTTAATAAGGTTTTCTAGAGTTCCAAGTCTAAAGACTGACATATTGTAGCCTATGTTAAATTGCTTGTCTTCTCAATGAGGGGAGGTAGAGAGGGAAAAAATTTAGAACTCAAAATTTAAAAAAAGTGTTAAAAACTTTTTACATGTAAATGGAAAAAAATAAAATGTTTGGGTTAAAAAGACTGACGTCTAAGAAATGACTGTTGGAGGGATGGAGGATACCATGTTGCAGCCTTATCCTATTTGACAGAAAAAAATTAAGGAAATGCCCACACTGTACCCTATGGTTTGCTATGGTTTTTAGATAGCTATGGCTATTTCAGTCCATAACATCCTCCTGCACTTGCAGAAATAGAAACTAACCAATATAAGATCCTACTATGCGCCAGGCATGACAATAGGTGCTAGGGCTATAAATACAGGAGTAAGACGGGGTAGAACACAACATGATTAAATTCCTAAAGGAAAATCAGTCTGCTCCTCTGAGCCAAGAGATGTAGGCCACCATTTCCTTGGATTTTGAAAAATAAAACCATACTCACAGCCTTTAATGAACTCTCTTGGCATAATTCAGAGGAAGATGGGCATAGCTCCTCTCAGGGTGAGGGGGAATTTGGTACAGTATAAAGCAGCCTTGTCACAAACTCACTTCACTATGTTGCTCTGGGAAAAATAACTTTATTCTTTTTTCCTTTCTAAAATAAAGTGGTTGAGCTACTTCCTGCCTATATGACCTTAGGCAAATAATTTAACCTCTCTGGGCCTCACTCTTCTGGTCTATAAAATGAAGGGTTAGATAGGACAACCTCTGAGCTCCCTTCAAATTCTACCTTTAAGATCCTATAATTAGAGTTTTTTAATCTGGGGTGCATGAACTTATTTGTTTAATACCATAACTAATTATAATTGGTTTCCTTTGTAACTTTATATATTTTATTTTATTTATTTAAAATCATTTTTCTGAGGAGGGGTCCATAGGCTTAACCAGACTGCCAAAGGGGTCCATGACACAAAAAAAAGGTTAAGAACCCCTAGACTAGAAGGACTTGAGAGAAATGATTATCTCTCTTGTATTATTTAAAATTTTATTGATTTATTCATTCATTGCAAGGCAATCAGGGTTAAGTGACTTGCCTAAGGTCATACACCTAGTAAGTGTCAAGTGTCTGAAGTCTGATTTGAAATCAGGTCCTCCTGACTCCAGGGCTGGTGCTGTATCCACTGCACCACCCAGCTGCCCTTCTCTCTTGTATTTAATAACTGTATGGAATTAGGACCAAGTTTTTTTCCCCTTTTCTGCTTCCTTGCTCAGAAATCAAACAGTGTGGGAATCTTGGGAAAAACTTGCCCAACCAGGCTGAGAGAATTGGTGAATTCCTGTTCATTGTGTTTGGTCAGACAGGTCTGGGGTAGAAGTGAATTCTCTCTTTGATATATATATTGATAAGTCTCTTTGACCAAGACTTGGATGATCTAAGTCTCTTACCCCCAAGACCCTCATTAGAATGAGCCCACATCTCACTGTAATGTTCATTTTCTCATTAATTGTTAACCAACTGGAGTTGATTGATACCTTCAGGAACACCCACTTTTCCAAAGCCATGTAAGTTCTGAGCCCACCACCATGAAGGTCTTTGGCATGCAACAGTGCCACTGACCACTTTTATTATTAAATGTTAGCATTATTAATAAAATGATTAAATACCCAGAAATTATGTCTCTCAAACTCTTTAAATGTCATAAACTCTAAGGTCACAAGCTCTCACATCCCATGCTTCTCTGAGTCCCCTCTTCCAAAGCGCCAGGGTGTTATCAGGCCATTCCAAAGCAGCTAAATGAAGTACTCACTAGAGAGCCTGGCAGACCCGTAGGCATGGCAAGAGCTGTTCCACGCCGACATCTCCCACTGAATTGTAATCCAGCTGTAAGGCCACAGGTTGCTTGAGATTCTTCAGCACAAAAGCCAAGGCAGCACATTCTGCGGGACCAATGTTGCAGTAGGTCACCTTCAGGTGCTCAACCTCCAGTTTGCAGACGGCTTCCCGGGCCAGGTGCTCATCCTGCATCTCATAGAGGCTCCTGATCAACCAGACAAACTCGGGCATGGCATGCATACTCTTGACCTCACCAGGCACAGCTGGTGGAATAGACTGGAAGTGCCTCCTGAGGCCTCGGGCCAGGCACCACCTAACGCGGCTCTGTTTCTGGAGAAGTGGGGTAGAGGGCTCCTGGCACTCTGCTAATAGACCCCAGTGCTCGTCGGACAGCAGGCCAGCCAGGAAAATGGCAGTGATCTGGATGTTGTGAGGTTCAGCTTTCTGCAGGAGGGCTGTAACACTCTCCTCCTCTCCCTCAGGGGACTGGACACAGGACATAGGAAACAGCCAAGCCAGGGATCGACTGGGCTTCTTGTGATGATTGAACAAGCACCTGATCACCGAGGGGGTGACCTCAGCACCAAGCAGTAGATAGAAAGCAGCAAAGAAGCACTGAAAAGTAATGTGCAGGAATTCCATAGGAGCCGAACTCTCTTGAGAGAAGCTCTTCGATCGTACCAGGAAGCCCAAGGAAAGGTCCTCCTCATCCATCCCAGATGCCCAGAGCTGCTTTGCAGAGAACACATAGCTACAAGTGCCCAGGCCCCACAGAGCCAGTCTGCCCAGGTGCAGGATGGTGGGGAGCCGAGGCCGAAGGGTAGTAGTCCCAGGGTGCCACCCCTCATCCTCAGGGGAGGCGTGCAGCACAAAATGCTGCAGGATCAGAAGATACATGTCTGTGGTCGTCTTCAGGGAGCTACAGCCATGCAGCAGGAGCTCCTTGTGACACTTGGACACAATCCAGGAGAAGACAGGAACATGGCACAAACCATGCAGGGCTGAGGTGGCTTTCACCAGACAGACTATCCTGTCCGCGACCCCAGGGTCACTGTGATGCTTCCTCATGAACAGTTCAATCCCTCCCTGGGAGAAGCCTCTCAGGCTCAGTTCCTTCCGCACATACTTCCTGAGGAAAGGGGAGACAGCATGGGGCCGGCTCGTCAGCACCTTCTTAGCATTCTTCATCAGATTGCCCCGTAGAAGGTTGAAGAGCAAGCTCTGCACAGATGTAGGGTCTGTTGGGGAACAGTGTGTCTCTCTGTCTGTAAACTTGAACTTGAATTCATCAAACCCATCAAAAGTGAGCAAGACCTGGTCCGGATGATCAAGCAGGTACTGGAAGACCTCCTGTTGGCCCTCATCCGGCCAGCAACACTGCTCAAACAGTAGGGTCTGCATGGAGACCGGCTTGTCCACAGACTGCAGCTGCCGGCAAGTGAATGGGAAGACAAAGAGGAAATCCTGGAAGTGCCGGCCCGTGGCCCAGAGGAGGTGAAGCTGCTGCAGGAGTGTGCTCTTCCCACTGCCAGCTTCTCCCACCAAAAGCACCGTGTCAGCATCTTCATTGATGCAACCACTGTCACCGAAGATGTCTGGGAGTTCCACGATGTCATGGCACTTCTGGCTGGATGCACTGACACTAAGGTCCTTCCTAATCTCTAAGATGTTATCTGTGTATATGTCCTCTAGGCATAGGTTCTCGGTGCCATCATAGGTGCTAAGGAAACGAGACTGGGAGGACACTGTGGACTTCAGCTTGGCCATGTACTTCTTATATGCAATATCTGGAAGAAAGAGAAACAGATAAAAATAGGATCCTACACAGGAAGCAGTGAATGTTGACTTAGCTAAACCTGGGTTCCCTAGGGAGCACAGGGTTATTTACATCGTAAATGGTTAAATGTTAAACTATGCTTAGAAATACTGCCTTCCCACAGGCCAAAAGAATACCTAGGATATCCCTAGGAAGTGCAGGACCACAGTTATAGGGAATTTCCTTCTCAGAGAAGTCGTCTGAATCACTAAATCACATCCTGGATCATCCTGGTCAGCAAACCTTGGATCAGCAAACCCTTTAGTCCCCAGTGCAATCCATGGGGCCTAGGAATGTGCTATTGTAGGTCTAAAGCATTGACAAAGCAGATATAAAATGTAATGGAGGTGTAAGGAGGGAATTAAAAAAAGGAAAGATGAAAAGAGAAAGGCCTATGTGGCAGGGAGTGATAGCGGGAGAGCCAGAGACAAGGGGCACAGGGGAAGCTCAGAGGTGCCTGACCTGTCTAACTTTCGTCTGGCCCATGTTTCATGCCTTGACACAGAGGGGTGGCCTGGATTTCTTCATTTTCAGTTCATTTTATCATAAAACACTTTTGAATAAGCAATGTCATGAGTAGGGAATGTTCAGGAAACTGTCCTTGGCAAGATTTATTAACTCAGAAGTCTAAATAAATAACCTCCCTTGTCTTAGGGATATAGGAGCTGTTCAAAGTTCTGGTAGGGAGAGCAGGACACTCCAAAGATTTAGCTCACACTGACAGAAACCTCTAAGCATAGCCATTCATTCACATATTCATTTGTTCAACATTTATTGCTTACTGTCTAGAGAACACGGGGCAGCTAGGTGGTGCAGAGGATAGAGTACCAGGCCTGGAGTCAGGAAGACTCATCTTCCTGAGTTCAAATCTGGCCTCAGACACTTAGTGGCTGTGTGACCTTGGGGAAGTCACTTAACCCTGTTTGCCTCAGTTTCCTCATCTGTCAAATGAGCTGGACAAGGAAAGGGCAAACCCCTCCAGTATCTCTGCCAAGAAAACCCTAAGTGGGGTCATGAAGAGTTGGACGTGACTGAACAAAAAAATAGAGAACACAATCATAGATACTGGCAAGATCCAAAATTCAGATAAGCGTCTGCCCTTATGGAACTTTCAGTCTGGTAGGGGATAGACACAACACAGATAACCATGCCATACAATGTCACATGACAAATGCATTATAAAATTGCAAAACAAAGTGCTGTGTGCACTCAATGAAAGATTTCATATTTCTTTTGCAACTAGTCATCCATTAAATTAATAGACTGTCAAATTGCCACTCTTCTCAACCTAATAGCTTACTTAAAGGATTGCTCATACTCTAAAGGCAATTAGCACAGCAGCATCTTGAGTCAAAGTGATGGACTTTGCACGTGTTTGCTCTTGTTCCTGAGACAAGTTGTTATTTTAATAGCCTTTGAATAGCCAAAGTGCATCTCAAAATTTTCAAAGAAAGTAAATTTTTCTTCTAATGATAGATCATAGATCTAATCATAGATCTAGGACTGAAAGGGAGCTCAGAAGCCACCTAGTCTACCCTCACATCTTCCAGATGAGGAAATAACACACCAACAAGGTTAAGTGACTTGCCCAAGAAGTATATGATAGAGCCAGAATTTGAACCCAAGTCTTCTACGTCTAAGTCCAGTGTTCTTTCTACTGGAACACATTACCAACATGTGTAGAGGGCATTGTATTCAGTAATAATATGATGATCATAATAGCTAACATGTATATAATGCCTACTATGTGCCAGGGACTGTGCTGAGTGCTTTACAATTATTATCTCATTTTATCCTCACAACAACCCTGGGAGGTAAGTACTATTATTATCTCCATTTTATGGATGAGGAAACTGAGACAAATAGAGGTTAAGTGACTTTCCCAGGATCATACAGCTGGAGCCAGATTTGAACTCAGGTCTTCCTGACTCTAGGCCCAACACTCTATCTGCCATACCACCTAGTTACCCCAGTGGATTTCCATGCTCGGTATGCTGGTATATTGCTTTAACTACTTTAATACATCTGCCCCCTGGTATATTACTTTAATGGTTATGGCTGGCCTTTCTATGGCTTTATACAACAGCATAAGTCAGCCTAAGACCATAAGTTAGAGGCAGTCAGGTGACATAGTAGACAGATGATCCTGGAGTCAGGAAGAGCTGAATTCAAATCCAGACTCAGATGCTTACTAGCTGCGTGACCCTGGGCAAGTCACCTAATGCTTCCCACCCTCCATTTCCTCATCTGTAAAATGGAAATAACAATAACACTTACTTCCCGGATTGTTTTGAGAATAAAATGTGATGACACATGTAAAATTCTTTGCAAACCTTGAAGTGTGACATAAATGCTAGGTCTTATTATTACTATCCCAGCAGTCAGGAAGCAGAGCTGTGTACTCTTTGTGCGGCACCTCATACAAAACTCAGTATGTAATCAATGTTTTCAATGACAATAAGCATTCTTGGTGATGTTGCTGGAGAGACAAAGCCTGCCTTGACCATTTTTTTAACCACCCAGAATTCCTTCTCCCAAGAGCAGCTTATATTGTGGAAAAGATCCTTCTATTTCTGACGAGCTAAGAAACACATACGTACCATCAGGGAATGGGGCCGGCAGGACAGGCAACTGGTGGATGTGTTGGAGGAGAAACTGGGCCACTCCGTTGTCTTTTACTTTTGCAAAATCAAGGAGCCTTCTTGCCTTTGAGAATCACAAAAAGCCCATTACACATCCATTCAAGTTCACACAAAGTGACTCAAAGAAAAGTGTTTAACTGATTATTATGATTTTACTACCCTTCTCTGCCATAATCAAATGCCAAGAAAAGATTAGGAGTTTTTTAAAGTTAATATTATGACTAATGCCAAGAGCATCTGAGCTAAGACTGATAGCCCAGTCCCCACTCTGTTAAGAGCTCGGTGAATCAGGCTGATGTTACATAGCTCCTGTTTCCTAATAGCCTGTTTATACCCAACTGAGTAACTTTGGTGACAAAAGCCTTAAGGGAACCTGTGTTTCTTCACTACAGTTTCTCTTCCTGTAATATACATTCTGTATTACTCCCTTGACGCTGGTCAGTCCTTCCTGCGTATAGCATGTCAACCAAGGGACATGGCTGGTTCCAGGAAAATGAAAGGCCCCATTTTGACAGATCTGGGAGACAAACCATTTGCCTTTCCAGCACCTCTTTACCTCTCTCTGCTATCACTGCCAACATACTCCAGACACTTCACTGATACTAAGTCAGAGAGAAACTAGAGAAGGATGTCTGCAAAATGAGAGCATTTGCTTTTGAAAATACAAGCCTATATTGTTCACTCAAGTCCCTTGATAAATCCTGGCCCTGCTACCCATGCTACCCTCAGGCAAGTCACTGAGAGGTTATTCCTAGACTTCACCATCCTCATCTGGAAGATGAATGAGTTGGAAGAGATGATCTCTACATTCCCTTCCAGCCCCAAATCCTGGGATCACACAGTCTTATCATCTGACCCTATCCTATTGTTGTTCAGTTGGTTTTGGTCATGTCTGACCCTTCAGAACCCCTTTTGGGTTTTCTTGGCAAAGACATTGGATTGGTTTGCCATTTTCTTCTCCAGCTCATTTGACAGATGAGGAAACTAAGGCAAACAGGGTGAAGTGGCTTCCCAGGGTCACATAGCTAGTAAGTGTCTGAGGCTGGGTTTAAATTTAGGTCTTCCTGACTCCAGGCCCAACACTCTATCCACTGCTCTACCCAACTGACCCTATCCTACCTCTCCTCAAATCATATGATCTGGAATTAGAACAGACAGCAGTGATCAGCCATTCCTGCCTCTTCTACCCACTCTATAGATTAGGAAACTGAGGCCCAGAGATACGTGCTATTTCGGTCATCTCTATCAAGCAAGCTCCTGCTTCTGCCAGGCTCACGGCCTCTCTTCTCCAGGGCTGCTTCCTCCCATTCTACCTCCATGCCTGTGCTCATGCTGTTTCTTCCACCAGAAATTTCTTCCTGTCTTCTCTCTACCTAAACTGCCATCCTTCAGGGCCCAATTCAAGTACCAACCTCTTCTGTAATACTTCCCATAACAAGCCTACACTGATCTCTTCTATCTCTGAATTCTTATTGCTCTTAGATTCTGGGGTATAGAAATCCATGTACTTGATCACATACTGTGTCCTGGTCTTTGGTTGTTTCATGGGGCTATTAGCACCTTCCAGGCAAGGACTATGGCACCTGACTCGGTATCCCCTCAGTGCTGTAAATATAGTAGGTATTCAACAAATACTCATAAGACTTATCAGAACTTGGTTTAATTAGAGTGGAATAAGTGACATTTGCTGGGTAAACATACACATACCTCTTGCCAATTTCAAAATAACTGTGAGACAGATATTTGATGTAGATGGCAAAGAGCTGGACTCCAAACCATGAAGACCTGGATTCAAGTCCTCCCTCTGACACATGGCCATGTGATCCTGGGCAAGTCACTTAACTTCTCAGTGCTCTAGGCACCTTCTTAGTACTCTAAGTTGCAAAGAAGGTACCAATTCATATTGGTAGAAGTAGTTTCCTCACCTGGGAATTCCTTATACTAATGAAATCAGAGGTAATTCAGTGCCTAGCCTTCTGCTCAAATATTTATCAGTTATCAAAAAGGTTGATCCAATCCAGTCCAATCCAATGCGATGTAATCTAACATAGATTTTTTTAAGTACACAATACCTGTAAGGCACTGTACTTGGTACTAGGGCACAAAGTCTAAATGAAAAACCAATAGTAGCATAAAGAACTGGAATGAACTTTCAAGGTCATCTAGTTCAGCTCCCTCAAATGGGGAAACTGAGGTGCAGAGGGGGAATAGGATTTGCCTAGGGTCACACAGATAACAAGTGGTCAAAATTCATAGCCAGGTTCTTCTGACTTCAAATCCAGAGCTGCTTTCCTCACACACCCTGACGCCATGGGTCATGCCCATTGAGGTGGCGTTTGTGAATAAGTGGCCTAAGCCCAGCAGTGGGAGCCAAGGAGCCCGGGTTCTCCTACCAACTCTGCCTTAAATGCATAGGCCTCAGCCGGGTCCTCTATCTTCACCAAGATCTGATTTCTCCATCTGTAAGTGGAGATAGTGCCAGCTTTTACAATTTTGTAAGGTTATGGAAAGGACGTCAATTTCACAGGATCCAAGCTCTAGACCTGGAAGGGACCGAAGACGCCAGTCAGTACAGCCCACTCATGATAGATAAAGAAACGAACACCTAGGGATTTTGAATTACTTGTCCAAGGTTACACAGGTAGTGATCGCCAGGGGTGGTCTCTGAACCCCGGTTCTCTGAGCCTACAGCCAGTACTCTTTCTACTGTGTTGTTGTTGTTGTTCAGTCATCTTCAGCCATGTCTGACTCTTTGTGACCCCATTTGGGGTTTTCTTAGCAAAGATACATTTGCCATTTCCTTTTCCATATCATTTACAGATGGGGAGACTGAGGCAAAGTATGTGACTTGCCTAGGGTCACACAGCCAGTAACTGTCTGAGGACAGATTTGAACTCAGGAAGATGAGTCTCCCTGATTCCAGGCCTGGCGCTTTATCCGCTGCACCACCTAATTGTAACATACTATAAAAGTGCTTTGGGGAAAAGTGGTGCAAAGCACCAAAAAATGCACTATATGAATATATAATAATGATGTTGTATGTTGTGCTCCAATTTTATTGCCTGATGTCATATAGGTATTATTTTATTTATCTGTAAAATTAAGAGAGGGGGCTAACAGACTCTAATGACCCTCCCAGCTCTAAATCTGTGGTCCTATGAGCCTGTGATATTCCTCCTATGACATTACATTAACATTTTAATAGATAATTTTATTCAGGTCCTGTGACCCTTATTGGTTTGCAAGGATGATTACGTGCACAATATTCTCTGCTAGTTAAACATCCATCTCATGATTTTTTTCTCATCCAAGTTCTTACCCGCTGAGATGACGTAAATATCGGCAGCCTGATTTCATCACATTCGTATTTGGTGATGAAACCATGTTCGAGTAAAAGGTCCAAAATGCCTTCCACATGGCCGTAGATTTTCCTGACAATCACTGGCCTATGTCTCTGCAGGTCCTGGGCTGGACAGGACACGTTCTGACTCCACTGGTTTCCTGGTTCTGTCTGCTCATCTGCTCCCTCTGCCTTCCGCACTGCGGCAAAGAGCAGCTCACAGCTTTGCCCGCCCTTATTCCAGACAATATCCAACAGGCGTCGAGCCAGAGTGGACAGAGGCTGCCCAGGGAGGCTCACACTCTCATAATCCTCCCAAGTAAGCACTTCCCAAGATAGCAGGTAGTCCAAGATACTTTCAAAATTCTCCAACGACCTTAAGGCCAGCCGCCCCACCAACTGGCTCCGCTGAGCCTGGAAAAATTCTTGTGTGCACATTTCTCATCCTAGGGAGGAAAAAGAAATAAATACTGAGTTTCTTTGGAAAAAGTCAGGCTGAGAACAGTCAAACATCAGCCTAGAGTTCAGGAGATAAAATGCTGCTGCATGAAGAACTAGAGAATCATAAAATCATAGAACATTAGAACTGAGGTCCCCCTGGTTCAGTGTGCTTATTTGATGGATGGGGCAACAGGTCCAGAAAGGAGAAGTAGCTCAGCCAAGAGCCATGCAGTCAGTTAGCAGAAGAGTCAGGATGATAACCCACACCTCCTGACTCCCAATAAATTATCTAATCCTGGTTTCCTGTTTCCAGAGTCTCTGGCCCTTGATTCTCCAAACTCTCCTGACAAGGCACAAGCTGCCTTGTCCTCTTGAAGAGACCCAATTCCTGGAGATTCTCACATTCAGTTCAATTCAACAAGCATTTGTTAAGCACTTTCCATGTGCTATGCATTGTGCCAGCTGTTGGGCATAGAAAGATAAAAATGAAAACAGTCTTTGCCCCTGAGAATCCCACATTTACACAACAACGTAGGATGTGTCAATTTGTGGATACCTGATGATGGAGCACTAGTAGAAGGTCCTGTTTACCTATTCTCACCATCTTCTTCCCCTCTCTATTCCCCACCCCTCCCTGCCACAATACACACACACACACACACACACATTCACTCATTCACTCACACATACCTTCTCTCTACATTCTGCCATTTTGCAGTCTACGTATTGTTAGCTGAGAGGTGGTGTGGAATTGAGGGCCAGTGTCAGGAAGGTCTGGATTCAAATCCTGTTTCTAACACACAGTAACTGTAAGAGCATGGGCAAGTCACTGAAACTTTTAATGTCCCCAGGAAACTCTTGAAGACCGGAACTTTTAGTTCAGTTGTCCATCTTCATGGACAGACGATTTCATAGTACAAGTCCCCAGAAAATCACAGAATCTAGACCAAAAAGAAAAGTCAGCTTCAAGGCTTGTACCTGACAAAATCACAAAGTATCTCGGATCTAGTACCTATTTCATTCTGGAAAATGGGCCCTGGGGGAATTGGGGAGGGGGAGTGGGGAATGCTATTTTGGAGAAAAGATTGAAGTCTTATGCTCAAGCTAGCAAAGGAAATTTCACAAAATGATGTAAGAAGTTTATTACTTGTACTCAAGAGTTCAAACAAAGAGTTGATGTGTTGCCAACTACAACAGTGAAAATATTCTCAGGCCAGAGATGAAACAAAAAACAGATCATAAGATCTGTGAAGGTAGGGGATATGTTTTGTTCACCTTTGCATGTTTTGCTGAATTAGCACAGAGCCCTGCGCCTGATGTTTATACAACACATGAACAAATGAATCTCCAATTTCATCCCCAATTCAAATCAGGGTAGGAAAAAACTTCTTGCTTCCTCCTTTGGAGCAATTAAGAGAAACAGCAATGCTGAATTTGGCTTTCTGCCTCATGGGGAGGGGCAGTTGGGTTGGAACCCTCTGGGAATTTGTATATACAAAGGCCAAGCAAAACCGAAAGAAGGAAAGTCTCCAAAATCCTCAATCCTAGAAGAGTAAACCAAATTTTCTATAACCAGAATTAGCCATATGGGGAAACTGAGACAGAGAAGTTACACCATTTGTCCAGGGAGTATCAGTATGCCCATTCCAGAGATAAACTGAAAGCCAGTGACTGGAATTCTCTCTTTTCCTGTACAAATCAGGAGAATATCATAGGATTGAAAGTTGGAAGGGACCAGACCACCAAGTCCTATCCTCTTATTTTACAGATGAGGAAACTGAGGCCCAGCAAGATGAAATAACTTGCTCCAGGTCACATAGACAGTGAGTAGAACAGACATAATTTTGACTGATTTCTTTTAATTCTACTACTACTACAGCTGCTATAGGAATATAACCTTTCAGAACTGAGTATGCTGGCTTTGGGGACTTTGTTTTACCTTCTGCCCTTCCTTCTGTAAGGTTCCTTTTGGCTCTGAGGCCTCTGCTGCCCAACCTCCCAGATGCCACTTAGCTCCAGTTTTACACTCAGAGATAACTGAGCTGTGACAGGAAAACAAAGAAGACATCTGCCTGAGGGGGACAACTATGAGATATGTTCTCCAGGGAAGTAGGCTAGGCTCCCATGATGCATCCAACCTAAAAGGGACAAAGTCCAGAAACAGATGGAGGAACAACTCTGTCCCCACCCTATGGCAATTAAAAACCGAAACCTCTTGCATAAAACTTTCCCAGAACAATTCCATGAAGATTTCTATGTTTATACCTTCTTCATTCTAAAACTCTACAAGTGCCTCCTCCCTCCATATTCTTGCCCCCTCTGTGTGGTCTTTCCCTAGTAACTCTCCACAAGTGTCAGGCAGGGGATCTCTCAGTCCAAGGAGCAGAATTGTAGCTAGGATGAATCACACCAAAATACTAAGAGCCCTCTGGCACACCCACTTTCAGACCCAATTGCAAAGCCCAGCCTAGCTCCTCACTGCAACGTACCTGAAAGGGCTAATTGAGGAGGGCAATGAGTAGAGGAGGCTGAAGTAAGATGTATAGCCTTCCCTGAAACACACAAACACACACACACACACACACCCTATATATTATTGGGGGGCAGGGTGACAATGGAGATGAGATGGAGCCCAGACAGGAAGGTGAGTGGAAAAGGTAAAAGGAAATACGAGGCTTTGTCTCAACATACAGAGTTTTAACTGGACCAACTGCAAAGCATCGTTGACAAGCCCCGCCCTCATTCCTCCAGCTCATCATCTCTCCCACCTGAAACACAGTCTCTTCCCTTAGAAGGGCCCTTAGGCTTGAACTTCCTTTAAAATTATAAGGGAATATACATCAAAAATACCTATAGCAGTACTTTTTGTGGGTAGCAAAAAAAAAATAAGTAGATTTTAGAGGTGGAAATTTAGAGAAAAACAAACTGTGGTAGAGGAATATGAATATGAAGAATTCAGAGAAACATGGTAAGGTTTATATGGACCAATGTAGTGTGCGCTAAGTAGAACCAAGAAAACAATACACACAATATCTATAACAGTAGAAATAGGGAGGGAATCTTAAACTGTGTAATTCTGCAGAGATGGGAGATTATGAAGTTATACTATGGTGAGAAGTTGGTTGGGTTTTTTTTTTATCACTGTTGATGTTTAAAGGGATGGTTCATTGGAGCACACGGAAAGAATATACATATTCTGAATATATTCAGAAGTGAATATATTTCAATAAAAACTAAAGATGCTAATAACAATACAAAATAACATGGTCATAGAAGCATAGAACTGTATGGGAATCACAGAACTACAGAATGGACCTTATCCAGTCAAAAATCCTCATGTGACAGAAGGGGAAACTGAGGCATAGAGCTGGGAGGTGACTTGCCAGAGGTCACACAGTTGGTTAGTGGCAGAAGTAGAAGGCTCATGAGGTCACAGATTTAGAGATATAAGGGACTTCAGAGTCCAACCCCCTCATTTTAAAGATGAGGAAACTGAAGCCTGGAGAGTTTGAATGACTTACCCAAGGCCACACAGATAAAAAGCATCAGGGAGAGGATTTGAACCCACATCCTATGAATCCAGTGGCTATGTTCTTTCCATTGTACCATGAGAAGCATTTAGGTTTCCCAACTCCCTACTAGGGCTGTTTCCCTCGTACCAGGCTGCCAGCCCATACAAGATCATACGATAATAAAAAGCATCTTAGAAATCATCTAATCTAAATATTTTATTTAAGAGAAGAAATTTAGGGCCAAAGAAAAGTGACTTATCCAAGGTCACATAATAAACAGTAAAGCTAGGATTTAAACCTAGTTTTCTGACTCCATATCCAGCACATTGTCTCTGTCCCTATCTCTCTCAGTGTTTGTCTCTCCTTTTCTCTGTGTGTGTGTCTCTCCTTTTCACTTCTTCTAGTCAGTTCTTTCTTCCTCCCAGGGAAATGCTTCCTCTGCCAGCATTAATACTCTAGAGTCCCCAGCAGGCAGAAGGTGGCAGGGTAAGCAGCAGAAAGGGTAGGAAGATAGGTAGGTAGATTAGTGGAAGGTATTCTAGAGTGATTTATAGTCACAGAAGGGTGACATAAAATAAAAAACTTAAGAAAGAACTTGAATATCGTTCCTTTCATGACAGTGTCATCGCAGGTCTTCATCTATCTCAGAAAACAGCCCCAGAATGAACCACCACATTCCCACAGGTATTACCCCATCCCCAGGCCCTGACATCCAGACAAAAGGAATAAAACCAGAAAATTCTAGGTCATTTTCATCCATGCTTTGAGTTATCCCTCGCCCAAAATCCCCGACACACCAGATAGGCAGAGGCAAACAGGTATATACAAGATTCACAGAGATACAAACATGTAACAAGCACACCCAGATGCAGAGACATACTAAGAAATACAGACACAGACAGGTGAGATACTCACAAGAAACCTACCAGACACACATAGAAGATGTAGGGGATAAACACTATTTCATTTTTCAAAGCCCATTACAGGATGGGAGGGCCATTAAAGTCACACCCCATAGGATGAGACCACAGCTCTCTAGACTCATGTCACAAGGCAGCCACGTGTCCCACATAGGAGCAGTCAGGCTGGTTCCATGAGATGTGAGCCCTGCCTTCTAGCAATAGGGAAGTCCCACTGCCTCTCCAACATCTGTCCTAGGACTTCAGGTCTCAGACAAAGATCGAGGGATGAGCTCATCCAGCCTCCCACCTTCCAACAAAGCTGTATCTAATCTATCTTAAAATCTAGCTTATTCCAGTCCCTGGTAACACTGTCAGGGACTTCTTAAGAGTTCTGAACTCAGAATGACCTGAATTCAAACCCTATCTCAGATACCCATAAGCTATGACTCCTGAGAAACTTAACATCTCTATGCCTCAGTTTCCTCAAAAGGTTGGACCCATCACCTAAAGTCCTCCTAGCTCTAAATCTATGATCCTGTGATTCTTTCATTGAACTTCAATTTCTACTGCAATTAAAGTCCATTCCTCCATGATGGAAAAAATAGACATGGTCATTCATATCCATTGTAAAAATTCTTCACAAATTTGAAGACACTGCCCCTACTACCCTTGCCCTTACCCACTTGCTGTCCAATACTGCCTTCGCCTTTTCCTGACTAAATCTTCTATTTGTTTTACCTTGTTTTATTAGCTTATTTTTCTGTCCCTTTGAATCACAGGAGAAGGAACTTGCCCCAGAGATGATGAAACAAAATTCTTTAATTCAGTTTCAATTTAACGTCAGCACATGAAATTCAGAGGGAAGAGCCATAAGGAGTCATTTCCTTAAAGAAACCGGAAGGATAAGCAAAGGAGATTGGCCATTCCACAACCCCACTCTGCTGCTGACATCCTGCACGACGTCAATTTCGGTAACATCCAGGTATACCTGATTTTTTGCCTATGGTGTGGGCCCAGTGATTTGCATTTCTGATTCTTCACAGTCTGCATATGCTTCCTTTAGCATACATGCCACAGGAAGCTAAATCTTAAACTAGATTCTCAGGGTAGCTGTCTCATTCTCATCATGTCTGGACCTGGCTGATGACAAGCTTCGCCCTTAACCAGAAACTCCTAGGGGAAAGAGGGAGAAAAACTGGCTGGCTAAGAAATCCAAATCAGGGGAAGAAGAAAAAATATCTAGGGCAGGGGTGTAGAACCTGCAGCCTTAAAGATATGTGTGGCCTCCTAGGTCCTCAAGTGTGGATTGAATCCACACTTTGATTGAATCCAACCAGCACAGAACAAATCCCCTTAATAAAAGGATTTGTTCTGTAGAACTTGGACTCAGTCAAAAGGCTGTACCCGAGGACCTAGAAGGTCATATGTGACCTCCAGGTCGCAGGTTCCCCACCCCTGCCTTGAATCATTTTGTCACAAGTGAGCTAACTATAGTCTTTGATCATCTCTCCTTCTACCACACTTCTACGTGGAGCTATGTCTCATATTGGATGGTCAAGGTGAACCCATTTCAAGTAATGGGTTGGGGACAGAGACCAGAAGGCAAATCCTAAGCTCCTAGCAGTCCAGAGATCTGAAAATTGCCCTCACTCCTACAATTCCCCCCCTCCCAACACAGACATGCCCAGGTGTATGCCTTATTCCATAAATACTATTAACACTTACTTCCTCTCACTGGGCTTCATTTTTCTCCTCTTTAAAATGACACACTTAATCTAGATGACCTCTAAGGATTCTACCACCATTTTTCCTCTGAGTTCTCATGCCACCTCTCTCAGTACCTGAAGACTAGGAAAGGCAGTTAACACCATCTTAGGTTGCATTATTATAAGCACAGTGTCTAAAACAATCAAACAAGCATTTATTAAGCACCTTCTCTTTTCCTAGCACTGTGATAAATTCTAGAATACAAATACAAAATTTCAAGACAGTTCCTGCCCTGAAGTCAAGTCAATAATCATTTATCAAATGACAACTATGTGCCAGGCACTATGACAATAACACCAGAAGTACAAAAAAGGCAAGAACAGTCCCTGCTTTCAAGCTGCTTCTGTTCTAATGAAGGAAATGACATACAAATAACCACGCACAGGAGCGACATGTTCAGAGCCACACTCCAGGAATCTTTGGCAGTGGTGTAGAGAAGGGATTGGAGAGGGGAGAGACTAGAAATGATGGAGGCCCTAGACTACAGTGGTGGTGGTATGAGAAAGAGGTGTGTTCTAGAGATGCTAAAGAGGACAAATCACCTTTGAATTATTGTCTCCAGTTCTGGGTAACACATTTTGTTAGGAACACTGAAAAATTTGAACAAGTCCCTAGAGCAATGACCAAGATGATGAAAGAACACAAAATTCCATCACAGGAGGAACTGGGGCTCTTTAGTCAAAAACAGAGAAAAATACATCCATAGCTTCAGACATCTGATGCTGTCATATGAAAGGGGGATTAGACTTATTCTGTGTGATTAAAGAGAGGTAGGTTGGGACAGCTTTCAATTCAATATAAAAAATAAGTTCTTGAACAATGAGAACTGTCCAACAATCAAGAATGAGCTGCCTTGAAAAGGAGGGCACCCCCATCTCTAAAGATATACCAGCAGAGGCTGCAAGAACCACTTTCAGAGATGCTGCTGAGGTAGTTGCTGCCCTGGATGGAAGGTTGACAGATGACTTCTAAGGTTTTATCCTACAATTCCTATCTGCAGATAATAACCTATGAACTAAATGATCTCCAGCAATCCATGCCAACCAGAGCAAAATACAGTGGAAGAGAAATATCCAAGAGCCCTGAGCAGCAAGAATGTGATAATGAAAGTATCCAAAGGACCAAATGAGCCTTTCTCCCTCTACACAGGAGATATAGGTACTGCTCACTGAAATCCAGAGCAGGTTGGAGCTTAAGGGCACCACGGATAAAGCAGAAGAGTTGGTAAGACCTAAAAATGGTATCTAAGAGTCATGCCTCCGATCCTCAAATAGCTCCTGAATCCCACTCACCCTCCCCATTGGGAGACAGAACTCTGGAGGCCTTCAGCTTGTCCTATGGCACCTACAACTTCCTGCCAGCTTCATCAATACTGTGGGGAAGAAGTGTTCTTCCCAGTATGGAGGGTCAGCCATTCCTTGGCACCAGCCTGGTGGAAGGGATCAGAGTGATCTGGGAAATATGGGACAAAGCTCTGTGGGGCAGCTAATAAGAGTGCTGGGCCTGGAGTCAGGAAGACCTGAGTTCAAATCTGAGGTCAGGTATTGATTAGCTGCGCACTGACTCTGGGCAAGTCCCTTAACCCTGTTTGCCTCAGTTTCCTCATCTGTAAAAAGAGCTAAAGAAGGAAATGGAAAACTCCCAGAAGGAGTCAAGAGCAGGACACGACTGAAAACGACTAAACATCGATTACAACCCAACTTCCACACTGGAGCACTTACAAGCTATGAGCAAACAGACTCCTTGTAAGCTTCTTCCCTACTGAAATCCCCCCTACTCCAAGAAATGCCTGTTTTCCTTTTGTAAGATCAGAAATTATTTCAGTCTTTGCACTTGCATCCCTAAGGCCTAGCTCGAAGTCTAGCACACAGTATGCACTTAATACACCCTTTCTGATTGATCAATCCAATCACTTTTCACACCGTGGCTGTGCCCCACAGTTCCCGCCTCGACAGAAGTACAATGCAGCCCAGGGGAGATCTGGGGCTCTCGAAAATGTTTCTCACATTCCCTGCCCCTTCCATAGGCGGAACTGTCCACGGTGCGGTCACAGCCCATTAAGGCAGCCACATCCTAGGATGTGCCGAGGAGGAGCCTACGGTCCTGGTTCCCAGGACTGCTCCATGCTCTTCCCACCCTGCGCTACCCAGGGCAATGCAGAAAAGGAAGATCCAAAGTGAGTTGGGAGAGAAGGGGGACATCTCCCTACCCGAGACCAGGAGTTGACAGTACCCCAGAGCCCTCCACTCCTAGCGCGCACACACCTGCCAGATCGCCAGATTGACTCCGCCTGCTGTCGTCTGCCTCCGGCTTCCCGGGCTCTGCGAACTGAGCTCGGGAGCTCCAGCTCCGCCCCATTCCTGCTAACCCCACCCCCACCCCCCAATCCCAGGCTGCTAGGGCGGGTCTGCCCGGGGCTGGGAACTTCCCCGCCCTCGCAGCTTCCTGCATGGGGATGAGGAACCCCCACCCATGCACACGCACAGCCGTTCTCTGACTGGTACCTAGGACGTGTGGACTCCAGGGACTAGCAGCAGCTTCGAATATGTTTTATAAAATAGATTTTCAGAGTCCATGGGAAACGTGCGATGGCCCTTCCCCGGGTAAACTCAGATCAGAATGAGATTTGGTACCAAACCTCCCAAGTGATCGGGGCCCACAGGCAGGCCACAGTATTCTGAAATCACCGTATTTAGAGTTGAGATCATCTGGTTTGGAGAGAATCCAAGAGAGAAATTCAGTTCAAGGCAGCCCGATACATGACGTTGGGCGAGTCATTTAAACTTCCGGGCCTCGGCTATTAGGAAAGTAGATTTAGTTGGGACCTCAAAGATCATCTAATCCAGCCCTCTCATTTTACAACTGAAGAAAGTGAAACCCGGAAAAGTTAATTTGACCACCGTCATAAAGGCAGATTGCAATCCTCTGGTTGCGAAACCAGCTTCGTTTCTGATACTATTGTCTTCTTTATTTGTAAAAGGGGGAGAGAGGTTGGTTCCTGTGATCTCTGAGGTTTCTTCTCTTTCTAAATGTTCATCTGAGATTTTATTCAGTTCGACTTTACCACACTGAAAGAACATTGTGTCTTTGGAAGGGGTAGAAGTGTGGTAGCTGCCTTCCTTTTTATTATAACACATTTGGCAAAAGGACATCAAAATTAAAAAGAAATTGAAAACTGATCACCTTGTGTTTTTGCTAGGTTTTCTAAATGCTGGAAAAGAGTTTTTTGAAAAGATGAGTTTTTAATTTTACAATTCACACAGTGTTTTAAGCAGATATGTCCAGAAAGTTGATTAAAACAGCTGGATGAGCTATTTTGTTCAGAGATAATTAAATTAACACAGAATAACCATTGCCCCAAAAGGCTTACAGTTACTATATATCCAACTAAATGTTGGTGGCTTAAATGAAGGAATATTTATCATTATTGAAACCTGGATTTCTTCTCACAAAAACTCCCTTTGTCAGCTCATACACTATGGTATTTATCTCTCTATTAGAATTACATTTAGGTAATTTATGAGTTTCATTCATCAAATATTTATTGAAACTTGTTACATGCTAGGTGGCTGAAAATGGCTTTTTATTTTTTAAATGTTAGCCAAAAATAAATAAATCTACAGTGGACTTTATGAGAGTATGGTAAACAGAAGAAGTATCTTCCTAAGAATTACCAAGTCATTATGGCCCATCTCTGCCACTCACTAGTCATTATTTAGCTCTTTCACCCAGCAAGTTAATCCTTCCTCCCTTTGGGCCTCAATTTCCTCTCCTGTATATAATGAGGGGATTGAAGGAAATAACTGCTAGGGATCATCCTTTCTCTCTGTTCTTCTGGACTTTATGCCTGGCAGAGAGTTAGCTACAGGGGGCTGAACAAGGAAGATAGAGAGTCCTTGCCGTATCTGAGTTAACTTTCTCACTAGTGGGGTAGGTCTTGCACCTCAAAAGAAGAATGCAGAAAGGTCTACAATTGTGAACCAGAGTTTGGACTTCAGAGGCAATGACTTCGTGGAAAGAGCAGTAGATCTGCACTCAGAGGACTTGGGTTTAAACCCCAACCCTTCTACTCTCTAACCATCAGACCCTGAGGAAGTTACTCTACTTCTTTGGGGTTCTGCCCTACTTACACTTCAGGTAGTTCCCCCTACCCTTTTAAAGAGAAAAAAATTAAGGCTCAAACATAGCTTTAAAGATAAAGTCCAAAACATTTTCTCTAGGGGAGCAAGGTGAACTGACAAGTTTACTTTTTTCAGGTCTAGTACATTTTCCTTCAGGATATCTGCAAAAGGGCATGAAAATGACGTCAACTAGTAGAGCTCTAATTAAGTAGATGGGTGGTGGGTAGACCCTCTGAGGCCAAGATCTCCAAGTTCAAGCTGGGAAGCTTTCCACACTTCCTTTAGCTCCTTCCTATCTATTCAATTTTCTTTTCCTTATTCCCTTCCAGCTAAACTTGCTATTTCTCATACAGGGCACTTCATTTACTGACTCCATGCCTTTGTATTGTGTAAGTGATTTGCTCAGGGTCACATAGCAAATATGTGTCAGAGGCTGAATTTGAACCCATGTCTTCCTGGCTTGAAATGCCACATGCATGAAATGATCTCCCTGCTCACCACCACTTCTTGGCTTGTCTCAAGAATCCAACTCAAGTTCTCTTTTCTGCAGGAGACCTTCTCTATAGAATGGACATAAGGATACCTACAGCACCTACCTCACAAGATTTATGAAATGAAATAATGTTTGTAAGCACTCTGAAAACCTTTAAATACTACATAAATGTAAGCCATTATTATTTTCTTGAGTATTCAATCACATTTAACAGAAGGAAGAGTAACCATTGATGGAGACAGCAGCAGCAATGTGTATGCATTATTTTCTTCTTCTTTTCATTAATTAATTAATTAATTTTTTTGTTTTCAACATCCACTCCCATAAGATTTTGAGTTCCAAATTTTCTACTCATCTCTCTGCTCCCCCTGCTCTAAGACGACATGCATTCTGATTGCTCCTTCCCCCAATCTGCTCTCCCTTCTATCTTATCCCCTTCCCCTTCTATATTCCAGTAGGGCAAGATAGATTTCTATACCCCATTGTCTGTATATCTTATTTCCCAGTAACATGCATTCATTATTAAAGAGCCTACTATGTGGTGGGCACGGAAATATTAGAAGTATCTGGTTTAGAAATATTAGCTAATTTGATCTTCATACTATTAGCCTTAGGAATATTATTTCATTTGATTTTCACAACAACCCTAGAAAGTAGGTGCTTTTATTATTACAGATAAAGAAACTGAGACTAACTCGCTCAGGGTCACACAACTAGTTAGCATCAGAAGCAGGATTCAAATTCAGACCTTTCTGACTCCAACTCCAGCACTCTCTCCGGTGTGCTACCTAGCCATCTATGACTTATGATTGAGCTGAACCCAAAGGCAGAAAGTACATTTTTTGTCTAGAACCTCAGCTATAAAGATCCCTAGGGTATAGAGACAACTCATAGAATTTAGAAATGCTAAAAAGGACTTTACAAAGGGCTTTAAGGCTTGCAAAACATTGTACATATATTATTTCATTTGATTTTACAATAATGCTGTAAGATGGGTGCTATTATTATCCTCATTCTACAAATGAGGAAATAGAGGTTAAGCGACATTCAGGATGGCCCACGCTTTGCAGTATTAACATAGAAGGGGGACTATCAAACAGGAAGATTGGTTTCTGTAATGAAAGGAAGATATGCAGCTTTTAGATAAGAAAACACACTAGAAAAATGAAACCAAAAGAAGTCCCTGGCTCACAGAGTTAACCTTTTCTCCAGTCCAGAGAAATGGCTATGGGGAGAGTCTTCCACTTTGAGGCCAGGTTCTATACCCTCCCCAGCCTTCCAGCCAATCAAACTAAAGAGATCTCAGCAAGTACAGGGCTTATTTCCTTCTTGTAGAATAAGGAAGTCAGAGAAAAGCAGAAAAAGAACACAACTGTACTTCAGAAGGACTAGGAAATTATGTGAAATCCAACAGCGTCTCTCCTGACCGTGGACACACACAGACCTTATCCCCAGAGGCCTCAGGTCAGTATTTTTTGACATGGTTGGTTGGCTGGGTCATTGATTTTCCTACACAAGTCTGTCTGCTTTTAAGTACAGTAGTTCCTTTGAAACCTTCTTTTGGCTTCTGACTCTGACTACCCTGTGGGACTTGAAACAAAACCCAGACCCTTCTTCCACATTCATGGAGAAAGGACTTCTTGGACAGGCTTAACACCTGGGGAAGTGGGTAAGAGATAGATTACCAACTGATCAGTAAGTAGAGGCCTGTGGTGAAACCTTCTGGTGGAGACAGGGAGTAACACGAAGTCCCAAGAATGGGTGCATTGCTATTGTTCTCTCCCATCCCCCCATTCCTTCTGAAATCTTTTGCTTTTATAAACTTGTTAATATAAAGAATGTTGTTGTTGTTTCAATTATGTCTGACTCTCTGTGACTCTATTTGAGGTTTTCTTGACAAAGATACTGGAGTGGTTTCCCATATCCTTCTCCATCTTATTTTACAGATGAAGAAACTGAGGCAAACAGGGTTAAGTGACTTGCTCAGGGTTGCACAGCTAGTACTTGTCTGAGGTCAGACTGGAATGAGTCTTCCTGACTCCAAGCCTGGCACCCAATCTACTCCACTGCCTAGCTGCCCCAATAAAAGGAATACTTTTTATTGCACCTACCTTTTTTCCAAAGCTAGAGGGAAGGCGGGTGTCAGAGACTGTGTGGTGCAAAGGAAAAAATATTGGATTTGGAGCCAGGGACCTGGAGTCAGTTCTTGCCTCTGCCAAATGGTAACTATAGCTTCTGGGGCCCAGGGAGAGAATCCCCAGGAGATGAATACCTAGATCTGGACCAGTGGCTAGCTGAGCATCTGTTAGCATAGTTGCCTGGCTGACTTAACCAGACCCCTCAATTTCATGAGCATGGCTGGAAGAACCAACAGTCTTCAGAAAGATTTGGGTCAGACTATGGTTCTGATATTATAGAATCCCCTCTCTAAATAGCTTCCATTGGACTAGCAAGAGAACAGGGCATCCTGTACCTTCTAAGGAGCAGGAGAAAAGATGCTACATAACTGTATGTAACATTTCACCTCTGGTAGGTTGTTTGTCTTGTCTGGATTCCCTATATGAAAAATAGGGAGAAATGGAGGGGATGCCCATCAACTGGGAAATGACTAAGCAAGTTGTGGTGTGTGATTGTGATGGAATACTACTGTGCTTTTAAAAAAAATGATGAGCTGCTTGATTTTAGAAAAACATGGAAAGACTTG